CACTATATAAATCCATGGTGCACCCACACCACTTTGTACAGTTCTAGTTGCCCCATCTCAAAAAGGAAACAGTGGGACTGGAAAAGATTCAGAGAAGGGCAACAAAGATGATAAAGGGTGTGGAACAACTTCCATACAAGGAGAGACTAAAAAGACTAGGACTGTTCAGCTTAGAAAAGAGAAGACTAAAATGGGATATGATCAAAGTCTAACATCATGAATGGTACAGAAAAAGTGAATAGAGTAGTGTTATTTACTCTTTTCCACAATACAAAAAATCAGGAGTCAGCCAATGAAATTAATAGGCAGCAGGTTTAATACAAACAAGAGGAAGTACTTTTGTCACACAACACAAAATTAACCTGTGGAACTCATTGCCACAGGCTGTTGTGATGGTCAAAAAGTATAACTGGGTTAAAAAAGGAACTAGATAAGTTCATGGAGGACAGGTCCATCAATGGCTATTATCAAGATTGTCAAAGATGCCTCCCCATGATCAGACAACCCTAAACCTCTGACTACCCAAAGCTGGAAGAGGAACACGGGTTGGATTATTCCCACCGTCCTGTTCTGTACACTCCCCTGAAACTCTGGTACTGATCACTGTGAGAAGCAGGATAGTGTGAAAGATGGACCATTGGTCTGGCCCAGAATTGTGGTACTTCTGTTCTTGAATATTCAGTATTGTTCAAAAAATGTTTTTGGTATTTGTCAGCAAATTGGAAAAGGTCTGATCAGCTTCAGAAAACTGTGTATGTGTGTGTCTGTCTATCCACAATAATCTTTAGCCCCATGGTTAAAGTACTTGCCTGGGATGTGGGAAACCCATGTTAGCATCCCCACTCTGCAGAAGGGACTTTTAAACTCAGATCTCTCTCCTCCCAGATGCGAAGCCTAACTACCAGGTTATAGGCTATTCTGGGGAGGTCTGCTCCCAATTTCTCCCCCTGAAGCTGTTCCACTTTGTATAAAGACACAATTATTCACTGGGTCAGAGTAAGTGATTCTACAGCGTGATGATTAAGTCACTCTCCTGGGAGGTGCAGGAAATGTGATTCAGATCTTCTCTCTGCCTGACTCAGATGAGCAGTTTGACTCCACATCTCCTACCTCCAAGGTGAATGACTTACTCACCAGGCTACAGAGAATCTTCAAGCATCCCTTAGCATCAAAGAACTTTCTTACCTAAGTCTTTTAGATTTTCCTTTCCTTATTTTATGTCTCAGTTTTAAAAGATGACATAAAAAATAGCCTAATGTATTTTAGCCAAAAATATGGGAAGAAAACAGAACACGTATTATAATAGCCTCAGAAAAATAAGTGAATTATATCTTAGCTGGACAGAAGAAAAATAAATAAATATCTGTCATGGTGCTGCAAGTGAGATATGTTGCATAACTCAAACAGTATCAATTTTCCACACATCAAGAATAAATTTCTAAACTCCAATAACTTGAGTGCTTAAGGGATTGTTCTTCTTAGAAAAATAGTAACAATCTATTTTTTGAAAAAATCAGTCATTAATAATTCCAAACGACTGACTCTCCTTTGAAGTTGTTTTAGGACAGCTTGAAAATTAAAAATATCAAGTTTCAAAGTCAAGATAAACATATTTCTTATTCTCATAATATGCAGCTTTGTTACATAAAATGCTGCCTTCTGTACACTAATCTTATTGGAAACTGCTTTTAAATATTTGGGGCCAGATTCCCTGTTCAAGTTCTGATCTCTTTGCAACACCTGAGCTGCTTTGTGCAATTGGTGTCAATCATAGTTTGCATATGGTCCAGTAAGTGAAGGGTTGGGGCAGATTAAGAATACAGAAGCCATAACTGGCTTCCTAACAGCTCTTCCCTTTCTCCTGCACAACAAAGACCTGCACAATCCGATTATTGAATTTCAATCTGTGGGCTTGGGTTTCCCTTGCAAGATCTAGAGAAATTAAAACTTGGAGGCCTTGATAGCTACAAATCTTTTTCAAACACACTTTGAAATTTTATCACAATTTAGTTAAATATTTAAACTATATCAACAGAGTTCTACAAATAGTCATCGCTGCTAATATTAGACTGGACATATTGTCCTAGAAGTTTCTGTAGCTTCGTCTCCTCACCTGATTTATACTTTCTTTCTGCCATTCTACCAAAAAAGACAATTTATTTTGAGAAGCCAAAGTAAAATAAGCAACCAAACTGAAAATTACAAAAATGTAAATTATGGAATTACACAATAATAATAATATTATTGTAAAAACATTTCCCTTGGAGATCCTACAGACTTACTTTAAATAATGAGACTTGCAATCCTCTCACAAACATTTTTCTCTTTATATTTTCCTCTTCCACTTTTAACTATCTTTTTCTTTCCCCCATTAATATAATCACACCAAAGAGGACTTGAAAGGGGGAGTTGAGAGTAGTGTATATAAATCAGAAGTTAGGAACTGTAGAAAGCTGATAAGGGAAGCAAAGAGACACAAGGAGAAATATATGGCCAGCAGAATTAAGGACAATAAGGAGTTTTTAAACTATATTAGGAACAAAAAGAATCCTGACAATGATATTGGTCAATTACTAGCTGGAAATGGTAGAATTATCAGTAATAATGCAGAAAAGTCAAATATCTTCAATAAAGATTTCTGTTCCATATTTGGGGAAAAAATAGATGACATGGTAATGATAACATTCTTTCCATTCCACTAACATCTCTGGAGGATGTTAAACAACAGCTACTAAAGTCAGACATTTTTAAATTAGCAGGTCCTGATAACTTGCATCTAAGAGTTTTAAAATATCTGACTCAGGAGTTTGTTGGACGATTAACATTGATTTTCAAAAAGTCTTGGAGCACTGGCGAAGTTCCAGAAGACTGGAAGAAAGCTAATGTGCAAATTTTTAATATGAGTAAACAGGATTTCCTGGTTAATCATAGACTTGTAAGCCTGATATCAATCTCAGGCAAGATAAAGGAGCAACTGATGTGGGACTCGATTAATAAAGAATTAAAAGAGGATAATATAATTAATACAAATCAAAATGGCTTTATGGAAAATAGTTCCTGTCAAACTAACTATATCTTTTTGTGATGAGATTACAAATTTGGTTGACAAAGGTAACAGTGTTGACATATTATACTTAGACTTCTGTATGGTGTTTGACTTGGTACCAAACAAGATTTTGATGAAAAAAATTGAATGATATAAAATTAACAAGGCCCACATTAAATGGTTTAAAAACTGGCTAACTGATAGCTCTCAAAATTTAACTGTAAACAGAGAAAAATCATTAGGTGGGTGTGTTTCTAGTGGGGTCCTGCAGAGATGGGTTCTTGGCCCTACACTATTTAACATTTTTATCAGTGAGCTGGAAGAAAACATAAATTCATCACTGATCAAGTTTTCAGATGACACAAAAATTGGGGGAGTGGTAAATAATTAAGATGACAGGTCACTGATAAACAGCCATCTGGATCACTTGGTAAACTGGACACAAGGAAACAATATGCATGTTAATATGGCCAAATGTAAATGTATTCATCTAGGAACAAAGATGTAGGCCATACTTAGAGGATGGGGAACTCTATACTGGGAAGCAATGACTCTGGAAAAGATTTGTGAGTCATCGTGTATAATCAACTCAGCATCAGCTTCTAATACGACATTGTGGCAAAAGAGTTAATGAGATCCTGAGTGGCATAAACGGGAATCTCAAGTAAGACTAGAGAGGTTATTTTACTTCTGTATTTAGCTATGGTGTGACTACTGCTGGAATACAGTGTCCAGTTCTGGTGCTCACAATTCAAGAAGGATGTTGATAAATTGGAGAGGGTTCACAGAAGAGCCACAGGAATGATTAAACATGCCTTATAGCTATATCTCAAAAAGCTCAATCTATTTAGCTTAACAAAGGCAAGGATAAGGGGGTCATTTGATTACATTCTCCAAGTATCTACATGGAGAACAAATATTTAATAATGGGTTCTTCAATCTAGCAGACAAATGTATAAGATGATCCAATGGCTGGAAGTTGAAGCTAGAGAAATTCAGACTGGAAATAAGGTGTAATTTTTTGACAGTGAGGGTAATTAATCACTGGAACATTTTACTAAGGGTCATGGTGGATTCACCATCACTGACAATTTTTAAATCTAGGGTGCATGTTTTTCTATGCTCTAGGAATTATTTTGGGAAAGATCTATGGCCCTTTGTTATACAAGAGGTCAGACTAGATGATCACAATGGTCCCTTCTGGCCTTAGCAGTTATGAAATCCCTCTCAGTTTTACAAAAACTCAAACTAAAATAAAAGATATCTTGAAGGACTGATTCCTCCTTTAAGTCCCTCTTGGGAGCATCCTTGTTTACAAATGAGGGGTGCTTCAAGGTTGTGGACAACTCAGGAAGCAGTCCTCATCTTAATGCTCATCTTCATTAGACACTTTTACCTCAAGTTAATTGACTGCCAATTAATTCAACATACTTGACATATTTCTAAAAGCTGGTGAGGACACTGCTCACACGTTTGATCCAGGCTACAAATGTTTGTTCTATACCATAGACTGATCCCAGGGAAAAGTCTAGTGTAGACATCCTTAGATCTTTAAAAGCAAAGGGTCAGATTGTGAACTACAGTGGTCAGCAGTAAAACTGATTGTGAACGCTTAACAGTGGTCAGCAGTAAAATCTAAAGGTTTTATTCTTACAGGAGAAGATAAGGTAAATTAGGAAACCCCATTTGTATTTTATATCCCTTTTTTCCTCAGTTCCTTAACTAGTTCTCTCATTTCTCTGAACAATCCTGAAATATCTGGATTTTGGGCTTTCACAGAAGATATTGTGCTCTCTAGCCCTTTTTCACCAGAACTTGTTTGTTGATAATAATGTATAATTTTATCAGTTATGTCACTGGAGAGAAAGAGGGCTCTGAGGGATCTATCTACTAATACTTCTACTGTGCTCAGATTTAAAGCCCCATCAATGACATTCTGCACGGGAGAGATTACCTTTCTCCAAGTTTTCACAAACTCCTTTTACTCTCACATGGTTTCTTCTTTCATGATTCTCTATGTCAGAGGTTCTCAAACTGTGGACAGGTTTTTGATGGTCCACCAACTGGTTGCCTAAAAAGAAACCACACAAATCTTTTAAACACTATGCTCACCATAACTATATTATAAGAATATGTGCAAATCAACTGCCTACTTTTTTGTGTGAAATAAAGAAAATCTTAAGTATTGTAACAAGCCCTTTGAATTTATTATTTTTTTAGTTTATTAATTTTACTTATCATAGGGCTTCTGAGTGTGTGTGCACTACTACTGAGTAAGCTCAGCACTGCGGCTCTGGCATTGCCATAGGGTCTCTGAACCCTTATGTCATTGGAGGTGAGGAAGCTTATAGTGCCACAGCACTATTGGTGTAGCCATAGAGCCTTAATCCTCAATCTCAGAGTAGACCTACTGTGAACATATTTTACTGTAGCACAGAAGCATCAAGTCTGGGATTGTGACACAGTTCCACGATTTTGTAGGGGGAGCAGTTTGGATGCCAGATTTGAAGAGTTTCAGCTGGTTCTACGGCTTTCAGGGATGTGGTTAACCTGTCAGTCAGTGTTCAAAATGTGGTCAGGGTCCATTACAGGATAGGGTTGCCAACTTTCTCATTGCAAAAACATGTACGCTCTTGCCCCACTCCCTACCCGCCCTGGCCCTGCTCCTTCTCCGAGGCCCCACTGCCGCTCACTCACTTCCTCCATCGCTTGCTCTCCCCCAGTCTTGCTCACTCGCTCATTTTCACCGGGTTGGGGCAGGGGTATGGGAAGGGGTGAGGGCTCCGGCCAAGGGTGCGGGCCCTGGGGTGGGGCCAGGGATGAGGGGTTTGGGGTGCAGGAGGGGACTCTGGGCTGAGGGGGTGGAGCCAAGAAGGGTTCGGGGTTGGGGGAGGGGTGCGGGCTCTGGCTAGGGGCTGGGCTCCAGAGTGGGGCAAGAAATGAGAGGTTCAGGGTGCGGGAGGGGGCTCAGGGCTGGGGCAGGGGGTTGGGGAGCGGGGGGGGTTAAGGCTCCGGCTGAGGGTACGGATTCTGGTATGGGGCTGGGGATGAGGGGTTTCAGGTACAGGAGAGGGCTCTGGGCGGAGCTGAGGGGTTCAGAGTGTGGAAAGGGGCTCCAGGCTGGGGCAGTGGGCTCAGGGTGCAACAGGGGGCTCTGGGCTGGGGCAGGGGGATCGGGGTGCAGGAGGGGGCTCTGGGCTGAGTCGGAGGGTTTCAGAGTGTTAGGAGGGGGCTCAGGGCAGGGGCAGGGGGTTGGAGTGTGGGGCGGAGGAGGTGAGGGCTCTGACTGGGGCTCTGGGCTCTAGTATGGGGCTGAGGATGAGGGGTTTGGGGTGCAGGAGGGGGCTCAGGGCTGAGGTAGGGGTATAGAAGGAAGTGTAGGGTGCAGGCTCTGGGAGGGAGTTTGGGTGCGGGAGGGGGTTCAGGGATGGGGCAGGCGATTGGGGTATGGGAGGGGGCTCAGGGCTGGGGGAAGGGTTCAGGTGCGAGGTGGGCTCCGGGCGGCGCTTGCCCGAGGCACTCCCTTAAGCGGCGACATGTCCTCTGGCTCCTAAGCACAGGGCTAGCCAGGGAGGCTCTGTGTGCTGCCCTCGCCTGCAGGCGCTGCCCCCGCAGCTCCGATTGGCCGTGGTTCTCGGTCAATGGGAGCTGCAGAGCCAGCGCTCAGGGCAGGGACTGCATGAGGAGCCTCCCTGGCCGCCCCTGCGCCTAGGAGCCAGAGGACATGTCACTGCTTCAGGGAGCCATGCGGAGCCAGGGCAGGCAAAGAGCCTGCCTTAGCCCCACTGCACCGACGACTGGACTTTTAACAGTCCAGTCAGCAGTACTGACCGGAGCCGCCAGGGTCCCTTTTTGACTGGGTGTTCTGGTCGAAAACCAGATGCCTGGCAATCCTATTACAGGAGTTGGTGAGTGAGGTTCTGTGGCTTTCAATGTGCAGGAAGTCAGATTAGATGATCATGATTGTTCCATCTGACCTTAAAGTCTATGAGTCTTTTGTCTCTAGGTTATTGGAAACCTAAAATTTTTACACTACTAAGACGTCCCCTTAAAATTGCATGAACTAAAATATGAAAAGATTTCCTCCATTAGTAGGTCCTCTCTATAACAGCCAGTCTGCAGTACAAGAACAGTTAGTGAGGCAAATTCTGCTCCCCTTTATGCTAATATAAATTGGAAGTCACTCCCTAAAGTAAATGGAATTAAACCACCAAAATAAAATTAGAATATGTGAAAGTAGAATCAGTCCTGACTTTCTCAAAATGAATACAGTGCATCAACAGAAATGATACAAAACATTTAAGGATGTGTTACCTAAAATTCTAAGAGGACTCATATATTAACAATCCAATTTCCAGAAATATCAAAATCAACTATTTTCTATTTTCAACAGCGTAACAGGGTAATTTTTATCAGGACAATAGCTTAGGCCCAAAATTTCAACTTAAAAAGTTGTAATCTAACTGGGAAAGTCCTAAACATTTTTTTAAAAACCCTCACTCTCTCAAAGAATAATAAATCAATAAAATAAAAATAATGCACTGCTCTAATTAAAGATTATTAGTACCTGCTGACATCATCAACCCAAACTATCATAACATAATGTAGCGTTTAAATGAATTTGTTCAATAAAAAGAACCATATCCATTTCAGTTCCATTTGGAACATAATCAAAAAGGCACTTGCTACGCTCAAATTACACTGTGCAAAGTGTAGAAAAGAGGATTCATAATAGAGGATGTGGGGCAGAGTAGCGCTGCTACATGATCAGTCCTGCCCATCACACACCAAAGAAACTCTTCCATGTGGATGGGACTCAAAGGCTTTGGGGGATGGAGCAGCTGAAGAGTTAAGAGTTAAGGAGCTGCCAATCTTAAACTGTTAGAAACAGAATACTTTTAAATTTCTAAAAAGGAAACAAGACTCATTTTTTCCCCTCATACACAAAACCAGTATCATTATGGCTTCTAAAACTTTATTTTCTTGACAATAGTGATCCACGCACCTTCATCAGTAATAGTTCCACTGCTGGAGCCACCATTGCTCTTGGCTTGTCTGTGAAAGGAAGAGAGAGAGGACTCCGCATTGTGAACCTTAGGGGATGGGGATGGAGACGGGGATGGTGTGAGAGTTGGTGATGTGCTTTTAGATGTAGATGAGGTCCCAGATGGAGGTCTTTTGTTCATCTCCAGTTTCTGCTACAGTTAAAAATAGAAATGTTTTTGTTAACTAAAACTACCTTCAATTAATTATTTTAATTAAGGTCGCAATTCAGCAAAGCACTTAAACAGATCTTTAAGATTGTGCTTATTGAAGTCAATGGAGCTACACTGATTCATACCAACTGAAAATCTCACCCCAAAAGGAAAGGATATTTGTTAATCTCTCAGGACTAGAATAAAGCAGTAATTCCCCACTCCAAACAAAAAGAGATGTAAATGTTCATTTAAATAACTGTTTATAAAGGATAACATTATCTTAACTTTGGATACAAGTTTTTCATTCACAGATTTAACTAAAACACTACTGATTTAAAAACATAATTTAGGCCCTGATTCAACAACATACTTAAGATCATCTGATTGACCATCTCTGACGTTATCTAATTAAAATCTGACCATGCAAATCATTGTTGCTACCACTGTTATACAATTGCAACAAATCTTATACAAAGTACGATGTATGGCCAGAAAGGATTAAGCATCCTGCAGGATAATTGACCCAGAGTCAGCCATTAGAGAGATGTTAGAACAGTATGTAAATGGTAATTAAGGCCACTCCATGGTAGATAGGCTAGAACTTTGAAATACAAACCTATATTGTTAGAAATTAGAAGTGATACTAATTGTATGGGTGTACTCATATATTTTTTAATGCTCGCCATGTAAACAGACACTTCCTGTCTGTCACTATAGCTGTTGATTCAAAGATCAAAAGGGAATATTAACATATAGATTAATCTCAGATGAAATGATGTCATTGTTTATATGTCTCTTTAAAGTTTGTGATAGACTGTCGAATGGATAAATTGCCTTATGTTAATCTGTGTGGATAATTACCAGAGATGCTTAGGAAATTGATCTATTCAAAAGTCCCCATAATTGCCTATTGTTCGCTGAAGCACTCCGAGCTGTCCCAAGATGGCCTGAAACTGTATAAAGATGCCTTGGGTCCCAATCCTTTTTATCTCAGATCTGCTTGATGCTTCATGCAGGGAAAGCTTAAGTCATAAGATTGAGATCTCCGGTCTCACCCGGATCACTCTGAATATGGGCATTGGACTATAACCTATGGACTATTTCTGAAAGAACTCTTTGCAACTACATGGCTCACCATCTCTCCTATGAATCTAATCTCAAGAACTGTACTCATGTCTGTATTTTTAATAAATTTTAGTTTAGTTAATAAGAATTGGCTGTAAGTGTGTATCTGGGTAAGATCTGAAATATTCATTAACCTGGGAGATAATGTGTCCAAATCTTTGGGATTGGTAGAACTTTCTTATATGATGAATAAGATTTTCAGTAATCCTCATCATATTTGACTTGGTTTCTGGGTGGAGGCCTAAGGCTGGGTTGCTTTCAGGGAACTGTGTTGTTGGCTTCTGGGTAACCAGTGAGGTATTATAGAAGCTGTTTTGTGCTAGCTTGGTAAATCTAAGTCTTGGAATATCCACCGTCTTTGGGGATTGTCTGCCACGTTCTTTGCAGTTCACCCTAATTGAGTGACCTCAGTTGGCTCCCCTGGAATCCTGGTCACACCATCAATAGGACTTCATTAAAAGTTTAGAAGTCAGAGATGTGTTTAAGTGCTTTGCTGAACTGGAGCCATGATGTGTGAAGTTTTTCACTACATCCTTAGTATTTATATGATTATATAACACTAGGGCAAGTGACAAACTGTTCTGTATATATTCATTTCACATATATTTATTAAATATATGACAGCATGGAAATGGAAAAATGGCATGGATGATGAATGTGAGCATACATGTTTCTGAACAGACCCTGCCAAACAGAGCCATTACACCTCATCTTACAAATTACTCTGAAGCCATGCACCACCTAGTTTAAAGTTTGCATTATATATGGGCCCAAGGAATATAGATGACTTTCCCCTGGGCTCCTAGATTCACAGTTGTCTTAAGGCCCCTTTATGCTAGTTAGACTGATGCAAGGGGGCTATAAGGCACACATAAGACATAATATCCTAGTGATTCTGTATCTTTGCAGAAGCTCATATAAGTCATTGCATTAGGGTTGCAAGTTAGTGAAGCTCTTAGGCCACCCTAGCCTGAGCTAGCCACCAGCACATCTTGGAATTTATGCAGGGACAAATTTGCTCCCTGGTCCTTTGGAAATTGTATTATTACTTATTAATATTATTACCTCCTTAGTCCTGCATGTCAAACAGCCATGATTTACATAGTCTAATACAGAGGTGGGCAAACTACGGCCCGTGGGACCATCCTGCCCGGTCCTTGAGCTCCTGGTCGGGAGGCTGGCCCCCGGCCCCTCCCCCACAGCCTCAGCTCGACGTGCTGCCAGCGCTCTGGCCTGCTGCTCCTGCCGGGCAGCTCGGCAGGGTGGCTGGCTCCAGCATGGTAAAGGGGTGGGGAGCGGGGGTGTTGGATAAGGGGCAGGGGGTCCCCAGGGCAGTCAGGGGACAGGGAGCAGGGGGTGGTTGGATGGGACGGAAGTTCTGGGTGGGGGGAGGCAGTCAGGGGACAGGGAGCAGGGGGGAGTTGGATGGGGGTGGGGTCCCCGGGTGGTTGGGGTGGAGGTCCTGGGAGGGGGCGGTCAAGGGTCAAGAAGCAGGAAGGATTGAATGGGTCGGGGTTTCTGAGGGGGGGCGGGAAGTGGGAGGGGGTGGATAGGTGGCAGGTACCAGGCTGTTTGGGGAGGCACAGCCTTCCCTACCTGGCCCTCCATACTGTTGCGCAACCCCAATGCGGCCCTCGGGCCAAAAAGTTTGCCCACCGCTGGTCTAATATGATATTTGCTTTTTTGCAGCAGCAGCTGCAAGCCCATATCTAATTTTTTCTCTCAAATTGAATCCCCAAATCCCTCTCTGTATTACCTCTTTCTATCCTATTATCTGTCATTTTGTTCTTCAGAGGGTTTTTTTCTTCAAGTGCATTGTCTGCATTTACCTAAATTAATCACAATCTCAGTGATTTATGCTCAGTTCTCTAATCCTTAGTCCTGTAGGTTATTCTTCAATTGCTTTCCTTTCTGCGCGGCTTTTCTAATCTCTTCTAGTTTGACACTGCCTGCAACCTTGATCAACGTAAAATCACTACACCTCCTACACTAGTCATTCTCAGATTTGCGGCTGTGACCCTCAAGTTGGGCCCTGAGTAGTTCTGTGAGAAATACAGACGAGCTTCATTTTTATAATATGTAAAACTGTCAGAGCCCTTTTTTTTCAACCTAGAATGGTTACTTACCCTAAGTAGTTGAGGTTCTTCAAGATTTTGAATCCGACGGTAGGGGCACATGCACTTAATGTGTGCAACAGGGGTGTCTTTTGAATAGCAGCGTCAGCTGGGGCCACACATGCGCCTGTCTCTCCTCATTTTCCCATGTGAGGGAACATATGGTGGAGTGGCTGCAACCTTCTGTGAGTTTCCTCCTTGCAATTCAAAGCCCATGTTTGCTATGGGCTTCAAAAGAGGGGAGTTGTGGATCCCACAATTCCAACAACTCTCAAAGAACTACAGTTACTATAGGGTAAAGTACCATTCTTTATTATTCCAGTGTGTGTCAGTGAGGATCACACTGTAAGTGGCTGGCAAGCAGTATCCTCGTCAGATGGTGGGACTGAGGAGTTTCAGCTTCACTAGTCAAATAGTAACATCAGTACTGCTCCCCCAAACTTAGCAACTGACCTAGCATCTAAGTCCAATGCATCATGTTCAGCAAGGTCAGTGGGTTACTCTACATCACTGTCTTGCAGATTTCAGATAGCAATACATATCAGAAGCAGGTGGAGGATGTTGCTTGAGCTCTAGTGGAGTGACCCTTAGCATTCTATAGGTCTAGACCAACCAGTGGTAACAAAGCGAGATGCACTGTTTTTATCAACATAGATACTCTTTGTGATGAGATGGTCTGACTTATGGAATCGCCGGCCATCCCCAGTGTGACAAAGTCAGGCTGGACAGCTAGGAGAGAGTGGTGGAAGGCAGGTGTATCAGCAACAGAATGGTAAAGGCCCTTTTCTCTATGAGCCGAAAAGAGAATACCTCAGGTCAACTAGGGACACCTGAGTCCAATGAATGGCTGTCTGTGACATTTAAAACCCCCTCTTTCTTGTGAGAGAGAGAGAGAGAGGAGAGACAAGATGCAGCAAGGGTAGTGGCAACAGGGAGAAAAGGCTTCTCCTGGGTGGAAGGCTCCTCTACTCTCTGTAGGGGCAGCAACCAAGCTAACTGCTGTGTGGGGAAGAACTGGCACCCAGAAGCCAGTATAACAGGGCAACAGCCTAGTGAGGGAGAAGGGAAAGGTATTCCCTTTTCGTGTTATGAATTTGTTTTTTTTTGTTTGCCTGAAGAGTACTGCTTTGGCCTACCCTGTGGCCCAACTTGTAAGTATCAGAAAATAACCACCCCCATGAGGAATAAAAACTCTCTGGAGTGGGACTGATTTACACCAGGTCCCCGCATGGGCAAAGGGGAAATGCTGAGCCCGATGAGTGAAGGAGGTGCCTCGCCACACTAGAAATAACTGGGGAAACATCTGAACAGCATGGTCCCGTTGATGTAATAGAGTAAGGCTCTGAAAACATCAAGAGTGTGTAACTTCTTCTCTCCCAGTGCACAGTGAGGTTTCAGGAAGAAAACAGGTAAATCAATGTATAGAATTCCATCTCAATCAAAGACCCCGTGGTGATGAACCTAGAATCTGGTTTCACCTTGTCCTTGTGAAAAGTCAAATGACTGGTGGCAGTGACTCTGAGGTGCATCCTGTGGGCTGGACAGACGTCTATGTGGACGTATAAGTCCTGTAAGTCAAAAGTCACAAACCAGTCCTTAGCCTTAAGGGATGGAATGATGGATGCTGTCACTCTTGAGAGTAGGTCAGTGTTCACTGCCTTTGTTGGTTCTGGTATTTATGGGGCTTGTGGTAGGGGCTGCGGTACAGATCCCCAGGGATCTTAGCTTGGCCCTTGAGTCCTTAGGTGAATGGCGCACTTCATCAGTGAGGCTGCTGAAGAGCTCCAGAGCTCTATCCCCTCTATAGTCTATAGTGGATTGGACCTCTTTGGGGACACTAGACACTTCAAGCCCATATAATGGCTATGGCCATGACCACTGATCTAGCAGCAGCACTGGATGCATTCATAGCCACTTGCAATGCTGTTCTAATGAACTTCTGGCCCTCTTTTATAATCTCCTTCAGTTTCTCCCTATACTCCTGTGGGAACTTGGATAGGAAGGGAGTCACTTTCACCCATGTGAGAAAGTTATACTTTTCAAACAGGGCCTGACAGTTCACCATGTGAAGTTGTAATGAGGTCAAGGAGTATGCCTTGTGTCCGAAGAAGTCCAGTGTCTTAGTGTCCTTGTCCTTCAGGGTGCCCTTTCTAGTTTTGGACTTCTCTTGCACTGCTGACACCACCAGGGACCCTGGGTATGGATGGGCATAGAAGTGTTCAAAGCCCTATTGAGATATTTGATATTCTTTTCCACCTGTTTGGATGTGGCAGAAAGTCTGCCAAAGCCCCTTCACCAGCTTGAGTATACCCTTGCTGATGGAAAGGGTGATATTGGCCATTGTCATAGAGTTCAAGATGTCAATGAGGTTGTGGGACTTTTACTGTATCACTGTGGTTTCAATGCCCAGGGTCTCCATGGTCAGGGGATCATGGAATACCATGAAATCACCAGTCACTGAAGTGGACACCAGTATCACTGCCTTGTCTGATTCCTTGGGTAAGGTCTGGGGTTCCTCTTGTCCCTCTGTTGTTGGTTACGGTTGATCCCAGTCTCACTCTGATGTGGGAGGCCTCATTAACAAACAATACCACTAGTGAGTGAGAACTCCTTCACTTTTTTTAAGCGTGGAAAGGGGATCTGCTCCAGGACTCATGTGACGATGTTTCCCAGTAAGACCAAAATGGCCAGGGTGGCATATGGATACTGGTCCAGTTGCAGTTGGCAGTCTACTGCCATTCACATCAGGCTTGAGGCGGAGCCTTGACCTCTGGTCTCCTTCTGGGGTCACTTCCTGATTCCATATTTGACACTGGCAAAAATGAATAGCTTGATGAAGGGAATGAGGAATATACCTCCTCAAACGGTGGTGATGTGGGACGTACAGCCCCAGTACTGATGATACCTATGCCACCAAGGTCTCAATGTGCAGCAGGCCTTGGGAGGTGTTGTTGATTCTTCAAGTGTCATGAATCTTGAGGCTGTGGTTGGCTTGATCACCAGTACCAATGTCATCTTCAGTGTCATCACTCCTGCACAGCACTCGTGGTCTGGCCTGCATCCCCTGCCCTTAGGGTGGCAAAATACTTTGAGTAGTTTTGTTTGGTATGCTTCCTTCAGGAAGAACCAGCCTGATGTTTGAAGCAATCTTTATACTACATATTGGCTTGTCTCTTGGGTGGTAAGGGCTGAAGTGTGGGGAGCGTACCTGCTGGATCCTTTGGTATCTGGGTCGATGTCAAGGCTGCCAGTGTTGAGACTGCTGTTTCTAAGGTTGGTGGAATTGAGGCCATTGGCACTGAGGTAGCCAGTCCCAGTGTTCTCAGCACCCTCTTGGGTGTCTTCTTCTCACTACTGGATCCCGGAGCATGGTGCCTGCTTGAGGGGGCACCAGGTGACTTCTTCAGTTCTGGCTTTGCAGTTACTGCCTCCGGATCCAAAGGGACCCTCTTGGACTTCTTCAATAGGTATAGCTTGAGACAAACATCCCTTGACTTACGGGTCCTCAAGGAGATAGACCAGCAAACTGAGTACCTGTGACAGGCATAAAAGGCATCAAGTGTGTCCATCTGTCTGGGGGATAAGGCCATCGTAGGATGGACAAGGTTTGAATCCAGACAGTTTAGAGTCCAGAAGGTGGTTGGCGCAAAATGCCTCACTTCGCTGGACAAGGGAGTAGTCAGATTAATTTAGATTAATTTTTTAATGCCAATAGCAATCAAGTATAGATAGGGCTCTACCAAATTCACTATTTTGGTCAATTTCATGGTTATAGGACTTTAAAAATCATAAATTTCATGATTTCATATATTTAAATCTAAAATTTCACTCTTGTAACTATAGGGGTCCTAACCCAAAATAGGGATGTGGGAGGGTCACAAGGTTATTGTGGAGGGGTTGCAGTATTGCCAGCCTTACTGCTGGTGGTGGCGCTGCATTCAGAGCTGGGCCACCGGAGAGCAGCAGCTGCTGGCCGGGAGCCCAGCTCTGAAGGCAGCGCCCCTGCCAGCAGCAGTGCAGAAGTAAGGATAACATGGTATAGTGCTGCCACCCTTACCTCTGTGCTGCTGCCTTCAGAGCTGGGACACTGGCCAGCAGCTGCCACTCTCCAGCCACCCAGCTGTGAAGGCAGCAGCACAGAAGGGTGGCATGGTATGGTATTGCCACCCTCACTTCTGCACTGCTTCTGGTGAGGCACTGCCTTCAGAGCTGGGTGTCTGCCCAGCAGCCACCGTTCTCTGAAGGCAGTGCAGAAGTAATGGTGGCAATATGGCGACCCCCATACAGTAAACTTGCAATCCCCTCCTCCCCCCACAACCTCCTTTGGGGTCGCGGCCCCCAGTTTGAGAAACGCTTGTCTCCCCCATGAAATCTGAATAGTATAGGGTAAAAGCACCCAAAAGACCAGATTTCACGGGGGAGACTAGATTTCATAGTCTGTGACACGTTTTTCACAGCCATGAATTTGGTAGGACCCTAAGTACAGATTAAGGGGGAGGACAGTGTTCTTCTCACAGTAGATTTGAGAATAAAACAAAGGTTATAAAGCTCTGAAAAGGGCAGTGGTTCAGACACTCACTGGATTCCTTGCCTGCTACCAAGAGGGAACTGAGGGAAGGTTGTGGCAGCTCCATCCTTTATACTCTTGCACAAAACCACAAGGAGGCACAGGGCGCATGCATAGCCTCAATAGACACTGCTATTCAAAAGACTTGTGCATGAGCCACATGTGCACCTACATTGGGATCCTCATTGACACACTCTCAAAAAACTATCAGACATATGGTTGCCAGACGATGTTACAGATATTATTACAGTTACACAAATCACAAATGCAGTCCTGTTCCTATTATAGCATTTTTGGCCTTTTTAGCTGAAACTGCATAAAAGATTCTTGTTTATACAATCACAGAAGAAAAAAAATAGTGGTTTGGGGGTAGCAGAGGAGAAGTTGAGCAGGGCTTTGGAGCGGAGCCTGGAGCTGGAGTGCGAAGCAGCTCCGGAGCAGTGGAACTGCAGGTTTTTGCCTGGAGCTGGAGCGGAGCCGGAGCACAGCTCCAAAGCCCTGAAGTTGAGAAACCTTGCTCTAGATCAATTATAATAATATTAATACAATACTGAGTGCTAAAGTAATCCCTGCAAAATGACATGCATATTCTCTCTCTCTCTCTCTCCACTAATGGTCTATCAGTCAATTTGTATCCATTCCCCGGAATTTGTTGCAAAAAAATATTCTAACTTTTCCATTAGATTCTCAGGCAGGACCACATCAAAAACTTTACCAAAATCTAAGAATACTGGACCTGATCCTGATCACAGACTGGTGTAAATTAAGAAAAACTGTCTTGAAGTCACTAGAGTGAAAGCAGTGTGAAACAACTGTAACAAGATCACCGGACATAATAGGGTTTAATCTGGATTCCCTCTTTTCACCAAGGCCCCTGTTCAGTAAGGTACATCAACAGTCCCACTGATGTGTTTAAATTTTGGTATGTGCTAAGTACTTTGCTGAATTGTGGCTCTGACTCGTAATAGTATTGCAAAAGGTCATCAGAATTGTTTGCCACAATTAGCTGTTTATGAACCTTGAGCTTCAGCTGGACATTTTCTAAGTGCTTACAGATAAATTTCTTCATGAAGCTAAAGCTTAAAGTTATATTATTCTGCTTCCCTAGAAAAATGTTTGGGTTATCTCTTCCTCATTACACAAGCTTTTTTCTCTGGCTCCAGTTCAGGAGAGCACTCACACATGTTCTTAAGTTCCACTGGCTTCAAAATTAAAGTTAAGCATATGCTTAAGTATTTTGCCAAATCGGAGCCTTAATTCTTGGAAAGGGCATATACTCCACTACAGCTGCATATCCCATCTTGTTTTACTGCCTCTGCTACAGAGAAAGGATGTCAAAGTTGCTATTTATTTATTTTGAAATTTCCAGGAAAACGCTGCCTCCTAACCCCCTTTGTGCATATTCAAGTCTGGTTGTGAAAACTTTGTTCCAAAGAATTAGTTGCTGAGCAGAGTCAGATTCAGGGGGCTTTGCATGCTAAGCAGGCCCATGTCAGGCTGACAGAGTTATTTTCAGGAAATCTATTAAAGTCTGGGCTGTGATTACATTTATTTAAAATGAACCAAGCAGAAAATAAATAAAAACTTCCCTTTATTTTTGCCTGCCTTTGTACAGATTTGTTACTAAGGGAAAGTTTGGTGGAGCTGACATGTTTCTACCCCTGTGTCAGACATTCACACATTTTAGCCCCATTATATGTTGTGTAATTGTGTTTCCTACCACACATGACTAAGGCATGTTTCATTAACTGCTTTGTTAAGTATCAGGTATTTTAGCAACAGGAAAACTTAAAAGTCATATATATACCTTTGCAATACGTCCATTGCCAGCTATCTGAGTGCACTGCTGCAGCTCAGGAAGAGTGGATGAAGCAGCTGTGTGGATTGAGCTATATTGCTGGCTGGGTTTCTGTTCAGGTAAGCCTGCTGCTTTTTTCCTTTGAGCTGCAATTTGAGACAAAACACTATCTGCACTGCCACCTGAGGAGGAACCATAAATTAAAAAAAAAAAAAAGTTAGGTACCAACAAGCAACATACTAAATAAATTGATATAATTAAAAAAAAAAACAGATTCGTTCTAGCCACCTCCTCCACCACCCTACACCCTCCAAAAAACTTCAGTGCATAGACAAAAATCTCTCCACACCAGTGCTGGTAGTCCTTGTAGGAGTTACTGTTTCTTCCGGGGGAAAAGTTAGGCTCCCAGGAAAGCCTTCTGTCTTTCTTGGATTGGCCTGTGGGGGGCAGGAAAGTAGAAGCAAACTAGCAAGAATGGGAAAATCCACCAAATCCCTGGTCTCAGTGCAAGAAATTCCCACTGCTGCGGGGGAGTGGGAAAAAGAGTTGCAGATACTTTGAAGGCAGCGTGGACTTGATACATGAGTATAGGTGTTCCTAAATTCTAATCTTGGCTCTGCTACTGATTCACTGAGTGGCCTTGGGTAATTAACTTCAACCTTCTGTCTCAGTTTCCCCATCTGTAAAATGAGGACAATAATACTTATCCACCACCTCATTTATCTGTTAATCTCTGTACTGTGCTTTGAATGCATGAAGCACAATATAAATGGTAAAGCATTATTATCAGAAACTGTTCACCTGCCCACCTATTAATCTGCTGGTCCCAAAATCCTGTGGTAGCCCTTAGCGTATCAGGTGTAGTAGGAGCAAAAAATATGGGAAGGCAGCCACCACCTTTGGGCAGTATCAACACAGTGGCTGTAGCCTGTTTTGCCACCAGCGCAAGTGAACAGAGACACCAGGAGAAGGAAAATACTTGAAAGGCAGACAAATGAGGGGAAAGATAAAGCCAGCAAAGACTATCTAAAGCGCTGGAGACAGAAGGCTGAGAGCTGCTCTCCATGCTTCCAGGAAAGCGGCAAAGCAAAGACTAAAAGGCTGGATGTGGGGGGTCAGTCTATGTATATCCTTGGGCTTCCACAACTCTTTGTCTCCAGGTTTCGCCTGCTGTTTTGCGATTCCAGCAGGACAGGAGAAGAGGGGGATGCCCGACAAATGAAATTTAACGTTTTTCAATTATTTTTATCCAAAGTCAAACTTTTTTTCATTATCCATGTCACTGAACCCTAAAGGACAACAGGCTCCAGGTACCAGTTCCAGGTTTATGTACTGCTAACAGAGATGGGTTTGCCTTCTGGACAAAGGATGTCAGGCATCATAAACGTCTTTGAAAATGCTGCCTGGGTTGAGGAGAGCAAGGCGGAAGTGTTTAGTTGACACACGAGTAGTCATGCTGGTCTTACTATTACTTGTTGCGCCAAAAGGTCCCAGTCACAACTGGGGCATGCTGAGGTTGTGTTTCTCTCTTCAGTGTCAGGTGTGTGGCTGTTGCCTCATTTCCTCCACTGGAGACTGTCTTCCTGGACTAATAAGATGATCTGGTTCTCTGGCCCAACAGTCAAAGTAAAAATTCTCTCCTTCCAGGGTAAATAAGTCCAAACACACAAATATAGGTGCTTCTGGCTTCAGCAGTCCTTTTCCCCTCACTGGCTATGTAGTCCTTCACCCTTTGACACAGGGGACCTCCTTCTCCCCTTGTATCAAGAGCTGACAATAATCTACACTGCAGGGATCAGTAAGACTTTGTAATACCTCAGGCTTAACAGTCCTTTTTCTCCTCAATGCAGGAGCTTGCACATGACATTTCTAGGAGGTGTCTTGTGCCCTCCATTTACTACAGGCCCCTACACCATGAGCAGCAATCTGCTCCAAACCCAAGACTGCCATTCTCCATTATCTTCCTTGGGACATCCCCTACAATGCCTGTCTCTGGTCAGGTCTTGCTCAGGTCTCTTCAGCCAAGCCTCTCACAGGTTTTGTTTCTGGCTCCTTCACAGGGAAACATGTCAGCCTTGATATAGACACCAGATCCTGGAGAGTTTCCCTGAGCAGCTGCTACTCTTCTTGAATCTCTCCCACTACTGACAGCATGAAGCTCTTGATAGGATGCTTCTTCCTTCCCAGTGGACTTGCTCACTCTCAGTTAATGCTTCCTGGACTTGAAGTCCCATGATCCAGTACGAAATTAGGCACTGCTAAGAGATAGACCTAAATTCTCCTTAAAGGACCAGCTTTCCCTGTAACAGGGTCTTACTGTGTGAGGGGCCTTATGAAGACATAGGGTGAAATTCTGGATCTATGGAAGTTAACGACAAAATTTTCACTAAAAAGAAAAGGAGTACTTGTGGCACCTTAGAGACTAACAAATTTATTTGAGCATAAGCTTTCGTGAGCTACAGCTCACTTCATCGGATATAGACTAACACGGCTGCTACTCTGAAACCTGACATTATGCAAAATTTTCACTGGTTTTAACAGAACCAGAATTGAACCACTGGTCTCTATCCTGAAGAATTTCTTAATATGAAAAGATACAAACAAAGTGTGGAGAAAAGAGATGCATGTAAGCAAAGTGATCGAGATGATGACAGACAAACATTGTTAGCTGCAAGTATTTCCTCAAATCCTACTGAGGGGCACTGCCTGCAGGCAGGAAAATCACTCAGATGTTTCTGATGAACCCACCAGGTCACTGGGCTTGTGAAACACATTCACGTTGTTTCTACCACTCTGCTGCTCCTGGTCTTCTCTTCCCCAAGGTGGGAGACCTTTTATAGGCCAGCCCCTTGGAGATCCTGTTGGTGGTCTCCCTGTAGGTCTTTGGGGGTCACTTTTGTGTTTGGGAGGAGGTGCATCCTATTAAATCAACTAAGCAGAGATCTACTGGAGTAGGGCTGCTAGACTCCATCTATACATTAGTTTTCTGACTCAGCAGATTGGCTGGAGAGAGGTAGAGAATAGGGAGAAGCCCATCTAATTCTCAGGTAATAATAAAATATGGGGAGAAGATGCTGCTGTCAGAAGAATTTGGGCAGTGGCAGTAACATTTCAGAGTTACAGAGGGTATCCAGTAGGGTTCTTTCTTCTCATCGTTGAGAGTTTACACTGTAAACCCTTTGGGGCAGTGACCATCTTTTAATCTGTGTGCATTACCTAGCTTAATGGGGTCCCAATCCTGATTGGGGCCTCTAGGCACTACCCTGGTACAAATAATAAAATATATTTGGTAGATGAGGAGAAAACTCTAAAACAACCCAAAAATGTCCAATGATCATCTGTTGTTGAATGCAAAAATCATAGCATCCCCCTAATAAGGCTAGGCTTTATCTGACCTAGCAACAGTTCATGAGGACATGGGGTGGCCAATGCTTGATGCAATGGAGAAGGATAATTCAGCTCTTTTCCACCATGAGCTGAAGTGGTTTCTGATCTATGCGTGGAATGAAATGGGTGTTTCTATCCACCCCAGATCTGAAATCCCTAGCAATTCTGATTAAACTACATTTATTCCCCTCCTGGTGAAAAACACCTTTTACATTCAAGATGAAAATACATGGAAAAAAGTCCCAGTCTACAGCTGCAATAATATAACCCCATTGAACTGCAGAGGAAAATGGCAGACAAAAGAAGTATTAATTTTATGGATTTCAAGACGAGAAAGAAGCATTACAACAATCCAGTCTGACCTCCTGCATAACAGTGGCCACAGAATTTCACGTAGTGATACGTCCTAGTAAATGCAGCTCTTTTGGAGATAATCAGTAAAGAATCCTCAGTTGGCTACAGACAGGTTCATGCCCCTGGGAGGACAGGTGCCAGTACCCTCTGTTCTGTGTCAAAATATTACAAATATATTTCTTTATATTGAGAAAATGGTTTAATCTTTAGATTCTTTCCAGAGATGTGTATCAGATACATTTCTTAGTGATATGATCTTTTGTTCTGTGTTTTGGGAACCTGTCACATGTTAAATTACTACAACAGGTTTTGAAGTCAAAATCTTTTCTGGCATGTTAAAATTACCACAATTACTTTATGAAATATGTATGTACCTCCACAGACTTAACCCATACTTACAAAATAAATATTTTTCAATTTCAGTATCTTACACTATCCAATGTTATACGATCATGCTATGAAAGTCTACCATAATATATGCAAAAATGGGATAAAGCAGGCATGTATTTTTAATAGCTTTTATGCCTGGAATGTCTTCTTTTGGATAGGCTTGGCATGAATGCTGGTAGTTTGATTTTTCTTTCTTTTAATTAAAACATCAGAAATTTTCATCCAGAAAAAAAGTGATATGTGAAAAAAAAGACTAAAATTCTTTAAAGAAATATTAAGGTAGAAACATGTCCTTTAGGACAGCATACCCACTCCTGCAATCTAAGCTACATGGATGTACCCCAATTAAAGTCACTGAGGTTCCTCAGATTCAGGGTCAGCTTCTGTGGTTCCAAATGCATGACTGGGCCCATAGTCCCTGTAGCGTGGCAGACACCCCGCTCCAGTCTGGAACGGGTTAAATCCAGCCGTGGAAAAGGGCTGCCCTGGGAGCCAATCATAAGTGGGCTTGAGGCAGCCAATCAGGGCCTGGCATAAGAAGGGCTAAGGGAGGAGCTGGGAGACTCACTTCAGCTGTGGAGTGGGAAGGACCTAGCTTCCTGGGAGCACAAGGGTACCTGAAGCAGAGCAGTGCTGGAGAAGGGCAAAAGGAGCTGGGGAGCTCCAGCCAGGCAACTCCCCAGGCTGAGGCCTTGTTAAAGACTTAAGGAGCGACTGGGGCTACAGAGGTGCAGCCCAGGGATAGGCAGAGGAAGCTGGTCCAAGCCCCTTGCCAGTGATGAGTGGCCATTACAGACTGCAGTCTGCCCCAGGGAAACGGGGCTAGATGAGGAAGGTGGGCTTAGAGGGTTGGGGGTTCCCCTGGGAGGGGAGACCCAGAGTGTGGGGGCACTGCTGTGGGGCAGCACCCCAAGATAAGATGGCACCGGGATCAGGGAGGGACACGGGGGCCTGAGGCAGGAGAGACACCGGCTAGCAGGAGGCACTCCGAGTGCTGGAATGAGCTAATTCCCGGATAACCAGCAGGAGGTGGCGGTGAGTGCTCGATCTGCTACAGTCCCCTACTGTGACTGTCTGTGGTTCCTGTTCCAGCAAAGTTAATGGCAGTTTTGCAGGCACTTGTGTAATTTCTACCTTACCTGTGAATTTAGATTACCTAGCTGAATCTGTCTTAATTTTTATATATGAAATTAAAAAATATATATCCACCTGATCTATTATGGAGTTCTCCACCATGTCTGTTAATTCCAGCGATGTTGCTGGATCCACCAGAAGAGTGTGGCGAGTGGTTGAAGTTGCTTGAATTTGAGGGAGAAGCAGGTCTTCTTGCAAAGGCTGGCAATTTGATGGGTCTAGTTCCTTTGGTAACAGATGTCTAAAAGAGCAAGAAATATATACACTTTTAAAATTTCTTTCTTGAAGAAATGGCAGATAAAGCTTTAAACACAATTTTACTTACCACAAAGGATAGTGACTTTCTCTGAGGATCAAAATGGGTATCAGAAATGAATATGATTATTTTCTTGAACATTACAAAATCCTAATTCAACAAGGAATAAAGTAGTAATATAAAAATAGTCCTCTTCTTCTGATTTTTGTCTAAAAATGTCATCAGTATAACATGAGCAATACAAAGTCTCAAGATCGGTACATAAAATCACATGTAAAATTTATCTAATACAAAGTCCTGCTCTAGATTCCCCCATCTTACGAAAACACCCTTGGGCTCACTATCTGCTTCACTACCATCCCCTCTAACTAAACCACAACTACTGCTGTGAGTTCCTCTCCTCTGACCTCTTTAATCCCACTTCAACCTTTTTCACTCCACAGCAAGTGTTCTCACTAAAGGCTCTAATGATTTTCTGGCCAAATCCTAAAGTCTCAACTCTATCAACATCCTCCTTGAATTCTTTTACATCAATATCCACTCCTTACTCCTTGAAATCCCATCTTCCAGTGGCTTTTGCAGTTATCTCCTCTCATGGTGGTTCTCTTACCTGTCTGATTGCTCCTTCAGTCTCTGGTTTGGTGGGTCTTTCTCCACTCCTCTAGCCCTTGAGTGAATGCCTCCCTGACTCCATACTTGGTCCTCTTTTGCTTTGCTCCCTCCACACATTATCCACTCATGCTGCTGTGATCTTTATAATGACTGACTTACAGGTAACTGATCTGTTTTCTTTCAGTTCAGTTGTTTTTCCCCCTCCTTCCTTCTAGAACTCATTATCAACTCAAAATACCCCTGCTCTGATACACCGAGGCAGCGTACTTTGAGGACTAAACCATCTCACTTGGAATCTATGATCACCTCAGAACTTTGTGACAAACCCATGTTAGTGCTGGAGCTTATTGTATTCAAGGAAAAGTGTGGCATGCAAGCTCTTACTCTACTAATGCTTCTCTTCCTGAGTAGCTGAGTTTACAGGGACTACCCATTCTAAAGATATAGAAATTTTAAAAAACTCGCAATGGAAAATACATGATTCTACAAGATGTTCTCACAGCTACATGTTGCAAGAATCCAAGAGGACCATAAGTCTGAGGGACAGCATCAAACTACTGTGTCTTATCAACCAAAATTTCCTGGAGGTAACAATATACAATATTTTGTTGTACAATGCATTCACTTACTATGTCAGAGTTTGCACTGCTGTTAAAATCATGTTTGATCCCACGTTGTGGCAAGGCAGTCCTCATCTGTTCAGTCTTGCCATCTTTGTTCATTCGTGTTCGGTCAGAATTCCACAGCTCAAAACTTGAAGGAGGTAAGAAAGGAGGAATAACTGCTTTCAGTTTATCACTAGGTAGCCTAGTAAATGGAGCACCACTTCTTAACTGAGAAGAAAAAGAAATTACCTCTTTTTAGAAAGATGTATTTGACTCTAATTATATGCATTTAAAATAGGAAATGAAGCTATGTAGAGAATGGAAGACTTTTAATATTCATCATCAGAATAAAAGGATGGTGGGGGAGTAAGGGTATTTTAAACAGGCAAAAGAACAATTTAATCAAGACATAAACATCTTTGAAGATGTACAATACAGAATAATAAACAGAAGCAATGCAAATGACCATTAAAGCTGTTATCATACACTAGCTTTATGTAATATACTGAACTTGGCTCACTTAAATAGTGCAAGTTGCCCTGTTAAGTATAAATCTATTTCATTCCTTCCTTTGGGCCTAATCCTGGCTCCTAGTGAAGTCAACAGGAGTGTTAACTAGTTAATTAGTCACTTCCAAATGATAAACAGGAGGAGTGACAAGATAAAAACTCTGTGGGTTCCTAGATGAGACCCTGGGAAAGAATGAACAATTGCTTACTCTGTCCCTTTGGGGTCTCCTAAAAAAGAATAAGAAGAAAAACTGAAGCCCTCTTCTACCCCAGTTCCCTCAGTCAACACATTGTCCCTCATATCAAATAAATGGTTCTTTAAGATCTAATGAAATCAACATGGGTAATTTGATCTTTTACAATTGCCAAGAAGGGGTTATCAACTGAAGATAATGCAGTCTCTAGGCTATAACAGAATCTGAAGCTGGAGTATAACAAAGGAGAGGAGGAATCTATATTATACCCTCTTTGTAACTTTCTCCAAAAAGTGAAGGTTTTGAGATAGGTAAAAAATTGCTGAAAATGCACGATGCCTTGTTCTTCGTGAATTTTACTATAGCTTACCCTTTTATCTAACAGAGCATGTTCATTCATGTAAATGGTTGTGAAATAAGTCTGAGTTACATCCCTTACTACATTCAAATTCCTCCTTAGAACACAGTATTTCATGTGGCTTTTCAGCAATAAACCAACTATTCAAGTGATCTCTTTTTAAGTCATTATTGACCATAAGAAGTTCATCCATCAACTAATGGATTGTACTTGCTATAAAAGTCAATATTTACCAAGCATTACCAATCCATACCATCTGCAATATTGCAGTTATTTCCTGTTCTCACTAAAGAGAAAAAATACAGCAGTTTGGATACAACTGTCTAGTGATCATCAGCAAATGCTGTTTATTTTATTAATGGTGACCGCTGTATCATTTGTATGATAATATGAGTGAACTGTACTGCCTATCTAATTTGGATTGTAAATGATTGAGTGAGAGTTGCATGATGTTCTACTCAGTGTTGAGCACATTGACAGCACTGTAACATACCATGGTTGTCAATAATTCATCATCCTTTCCTGCTCTTGTGCACACACCTGAAAAACACATCAAGGATATTTTTAAAAACTCCAAATGCTTATTCCCAAGGATAACTTTGACAAATGTATTGTATGCCACAACAGTTTCACTCAGTAAATACAATGGCATAAATTTATCCCTCATGCAACTCCATTGACTTTCCTGGCAACGTATCCAAGATGAATTTGGGCCATTGTTGTTTTTGTATTTTACATCATAAACTGCAGGGTTCAAACCCACTAACCCCCCTTTTTGTTCTATGACTAACAGGGGTGTTAACAGGCCAATTCACCTTGAATATTCCCATAAGAACATAAGAATGGCCATACTGGGTCAGACCAAAGGTCCATCCAGCCCAGTATCCTGTCTGCCAACAGTGGCCAATGCTAGGTGCCCCAGAGGAACTGAACCTAATAGGTAATGATCAAGTGATCTCTCTTCTGCCATCCGTCTCCACCCTCTGACAATCAGAAGCTAGGGACACCATTCCTTACCCATCCTGGCACATTCCCTTAGAATACGTGCTAACTACTTATGCTAAACCCAATGGCTCTCAACCTTTCAGGAGTCTCACTTGCCTTGCATACCCCAAAGTTTCACATTACTTAAAAACTACTTGCTTATAAAATCAGACATAAAAATACAGAAGTGTCACAGCACACTATTACTGAAAAAATGCTGAGTTTCTCATTTTTACCATATAATTATAAAATAAATCAATTGTAATATAAATATTGTATTGACATTTCAATGTATAGTATATAGAGTAGTATAAACAAGTCATTGTCTGTAAGAAATTTTAGTCTGTACTGCCTTCGCTAGTGCTTTTAATGTAGCCTGTTGTAAAACTAGGCAAATATCTATATGAGTTGATGTGCCCCCAGGCAGACCTCTATGTACCCCTGGTTGAGAACCACTGTGCTTAACCATCTGTTCGATCTTGTAGTTAGTTGTGACACTCTTAGTACCTTTCCCAGACCTGAAGAAAAGCTCTGTGTAGCTCAAAAGCTTGTCTCTCTCACCAACAGAAGTTGGTCCAATAAATATTACCTCACCCACCTTCTCTCTCTAATATGAATCAACTGCCCATTTCAAGGGTATTTTCTAGCATACAATAATGCAGGGGTTCTCAAACTGGGGGTCGGGACCTCTCAGGTGGTCGCGAGCTGTCAGCCTCCACCCCAAACCCTGTTTTGCCTCCAGCATTTATAATGGTATTAAATATATTAAGTGTTTTTTTTTAATTTATAAGAGGGGGGGTCGTACTCAGAGGCTTGCTATGTGTAAAGGGTCACCAATACAAAAGTTGGAGAACCACTGCACTAATGGCATGACATGATATTAAGCATGGGTGATGCTAAATTTATTGCTCAACGGCAATCACTAACCAAAAACAGTGCAAGTCTGATAAAATAACTCTTTGTGCAGCATCTTTCCACATACTGCATACTTATTACATGTTTTCATCTGTAGCAAATGCATTACATTAAATATGGTACCACCTAAACTACCAGATGATAGAACACTTCCCATATATCATATAAGCAGTTCTGACTTTACCGCTAGCTTTGACATTTGTGGTCCAAGCTGTTGCAGCATCACAGTTTCCAGAGTTGTTCACATCTGGCTGTGAAGTGGCTTTTATTGTGGAATTCAGAGATGACTCGGGCTCATCAGTAAAAGGCACAGACTGACTGGTGGAAAATCCATGACGCAATGTTTGGGTCAACTTCAGCTTGCGGAATCTATTGGACATTCTGTTCCACCATGACTAGGGGGATGAGAAAACAGGACAACTTTGTTCTAACATATAAGTAAAAGAAAAGTTACATTAATTCAGCTTCGCACAAAGCTATAATTCTGACAAGGAGTTTTAGTGATAAACTACAAGAGTTGACAGAGCCGTTTATCAATGTCACCCAATACCCTAGACCTGGTGGTACACAAGACATCTCTGGGGGGTACACGGGAGAAATTGTATAATGCTGGATTTTATCTATTAATTATTTAATTTATTACATTTTCATAATAGGTTACTCAGATGAAGCTTTAAAACTGCATGGGAATTTGTTACATAAAATGTGGTAGTTAATTTACTTCAGGATGTACCAACGAGAACACAGATACAGATGCTGACGTACAGAGCCTTCACCTCTAATCACAGTATAGCGTGGATTCAGTTGCCCAGCAACTGTCCAGTCTGAGCTCAGAACTTAGGCAGGGGTTTTGTTTTTGGTTGTATATGTAGCTCCGATATCGGTATGTAACCGTGAAATATGGATAGATGGCTAAAGACATGGGGTGTTAAGAAGAACACACAAAGTACCAGTGATGAGAAAGGTAGGGGTACATGGGCAGCTGGTAGATCTGGAAGGGGGTACGCAATAAGAAAAGTTTGGGAACCTTTGCCCTAGACTGAATTGCAGCTTTATGTACAGATATAGGTAGATATAGATGTATAAAAAATTACAGGTTTGTCTGTGTTAACATGAACATCTGATTTATAGTATTTATTAAATTAATAAAAAGTAAAACTAATTTAACATACAAAATATTATGTATATAAAGCTACACTGAAGTAGAATACATCTAAATGAATGAACAAATGAATGAATGAATTTTCAAGCTCCATTTTAAAATCTCTCTCAGTCTCCCCCCCAACATTTTTTCTATCACAGGAAATTCATTGTCAAATTGTGAATTTGAAGGGATGTGATTTACCTCATCAATTTTTGGACCTAGTAAATAGTTTTCCATATTTTTTTCCACTATAGTCACTTTGTCTGCAAAAGCGAAGCATGTGCATTTACTCAGGTACTTTGGGTGGGAAGTTTTAAAACTACAGTACTAAGTACTGTAATTTAATCTTCCAATCAACTCACAACTTCATACTCTAACGTCATGCTCTCCAGTATCAAGATCTAGCACGTCTTACTGTCATAACATCAATATCTGTGTAAAGTTATTCTATTTTAACAATGCACAGATGGCTGTTAAGGTTTTGCATTAGAGCAAAGGCTGATGAAACTGGGATGTGTATTGACTATTTTTAAAAAATTCTTTGTACTTCTTGAGCAAAGGAACTTATTATGGTAGACAGGGCCATCCCTAGGGGGGTGCAGGGCCGGGGGTGGAATGCACAGATTCATCTCTTCCGGGATTGACCTCGCTGGCCAATTGCACCGGCCCACAGGGCCCCCCAAAGCGTGGGGCCTGGAGCAGTCACCCCAATTCACCCTTCCCAAGGGATGGCTCTGATGGTAGAAAAAGCATTAAAATACAAACATCCATATACTTTTATTGGTGCTTTCAAATGGATTGAAAGGACTGGAGCTTCCAGGCAAACCCTACAGGTTTTTTTGTAGTAAGCTGGGGACCTGATAAACAGGATATGACAGTTCAGAGACACTAGGGGAAGCAGTGACGCCTAGCTCTCTCTGACTACTGTGGATCCTGCAGATGTGGGCAGTGTCAGCCTGGTCACTGTTACAAGGACAACGAGAGGAGGTACTCGGTCATAGTACATCACTTGATAGTAAGTGAATAATTTTATGTTCATAAGGTATATTACACAGCAACATAAGGAGCAATATTGTGCAATTATTAACTTCTTCCAAAGGCCTAGCCTACATGGAATAATTGAACAATTGGGAATTAAATTGGTGGGATGGTTCCCCTGTGAGTATCTACAGTGTACAATGTCCATATGAGCCAGGCAGTTTCAGGTACAGTTTGTCTCACATCAACGCTATCACTATATTACACCACTGCAGTCCATCTGCCCTCTGTCTACCTTCTCTACAGTTCCAGTACAGCTACTGAGGGTCTCAAAACCCAGAAGAGAAGTCAAACTCCCATAATTCTCTGGGGGTAAATCCTGTTAATCCCATGATGCCAGCACTGTTTCCTGTCCTTTTTCTCAAAAATGGAAGCCAGGATGAAAACTCTGTTCTTGTTCCTTGCTCAGCAAGGTCCCTGAAAGTGAGTGGCAAATTGGCAGTGGTGGTGGCTCTGAGAGCAACTCTGGCAAGAAAGAGACAAGACCAGCAATTCAGAGCATTCATGTAACAGGTAAGAAGTGGTGGTTGGGGTGTGAGTAGATGGCCTTATACGCTATTTGCAGTTCTTCTGTAGATGGCATGACACTTCGGGGTTTGGCGCACAACCACAGGCTGGTGGGGCAGAATTGTTTTTGAAACCTGGGCTAAACTGTAGCAGCGATGTAACTTCAGAATAAAGTGTCTGCTCTGTAGCTCAGTGGTGAGCAAGTCCTGACAGTACAGTGCCAGATCACAGATATGAGGGCTCCCCTTATTCATAGAATCATAGAATCATAGAATATCAGGGTTGGAAGGGACCTCAGGAGGTCATCTAGTCCAACCCCCTGCTCAAAGCAGGACCAATCCCCAATTAAATCATCCCAGCCAGGGCTTTGTCAAGCCTGACCTTAAAAACTTCTAAGGAAAGAGATTCTACCACCTCCCTAGGTAACACATTCCAGTGTTTCACCACCCTCCTAGTGAAAAAGTTTTTCCTAATATCCAACCTAAACCTCCCCCACTGCAACTTGAGACCATTACTCCTTGTCCTGTCATCTTCTACCACTGAGAATAGTCTAGAACCATCCTCTTTGGAACCACCTCTCAGGTAGTTGAAAGCTGCTATCAAATCCCCCCTTGTTCTTCTCTTCTACAGACTAAACAATCCCAGTTCCCTCAGCCTCTCCTCATAAGTCATGTGTTCCAGACCCCTAATGATTTTTGTTGCCCTTCGCTGGACTCTCTCCAATTTCTCCACATCCTTCTTGTAGTGTGGGGCCCAAAACTGGACACAGTACTCCAGATGAGGCCTCACCAATGTCGAATAGAGGGGAATGATCACTTCCCTCGATCTGCTGGCTATGCCCCTACTTATACATCCCAAAATGCCCTTGGCCTTCTTGGCAACAAGGGCACACTGTTGACTCATATCCAGCTTCTCGTCCACTGTCACCCCTAGGTCCTTTTCCGCAGAACTGCTGCCTAGCCATTCGGTCCCTAGTCTGTAGCGGTGCATTGGATTCTTCCGTCCTAAGTGCAGGACTCTGCACTTATCCTTGTTGAACCTCATCAGATTTCTTTTGGCCTAATCCTCCAATTTGTCTAGGTCCCCCGTATCCTATCCCTACCTGCCACCGTATCTACCACTCCTCCTAGTTTAGTATCATCTGCAAATTTGCTGAGAGTGCAATCCACACCATGCTCCAGATCATTTATGAAGATATTGAACAAAACCGGCCCCAGGACCGACCCTTGGGGGCACTCCACTTGATACCGGCTGCCAACTAGACATTCTGCAAAAAATGGGAATTGCTCCAGCTGTTCTGGATAATTACCAATCAGGTGAGTCTCATTTGGGGGTTGAAATATGCAATGAGTGTCGTTGTGGTGAAGGTCTGCAGGGCTATAGTGCATTACAGCAGCATGTGATCCAGATGGCCAATGCACCAGATACTGAGGAAGTTAAATAATTGTGCTTCCCAAATTTTTCAGGAGCCATTGATGGAATCCATATTTCCCCAGCCTACAAAACTTAGCCTTCATCAGTACATTTTACAATAGAAAGCTGCATATCTGATGCAGCAGTCCCTTCACCCAGAGGTTCCTCCTTTTACCAACCCAGCTTAGCTGCCTCCTCTGCAACCATATTGGGATCCTGGGTCCCACTCAAAGAGCTCCTGGTTATGCTCTTCATCTTCGAGTCTCTACTCTGATCCCTGCATGGAATGCAAACATGAGTGCACAGACTCCATTATGTAATAGAGCTGAGATGCCTCTGCTACCACCTGCTTTCTTCCTTTCCCTGCCCCCTCAGAGCCTAGCAAGGAGCCTAGAAGGAACAAAGAGAGGGAGGAGCTAGGAGCTGGGGGTCTGTAAGGAATGCAGAGTTCAGACCTATCCTGCCTGCTGCTGGCAGAGTGGAGCTGGTAGCAATATTCCTCCTACAGCAGCTTCAGCTGTCTGGCACATGGACGACTTGCCTCTAAAACTAACTTTAGTGCTGTGGTGCCAGCCCAGCTCCTCTAACAGCTTCCCTTAGCTGGTGACCCACCTGCAGTCCCAGGCAGAGGGAATACAGCACTACCTGAGAGGATGGGAATCATAACTCCAACACTTGGGACTGCTACGAGGGGACAGTCTGGTGTGGCTGCCTGAATGCTCCCATCACCTTACCCTTGATGCAGCATGTGAGACCACAGAAAGAGGATGACATGTAGATCTGACACCACTCTCAGAGATGAACTCCACTAATGTCCCTTTTTTTTCAGGACAGGGGCTCCCTTCCTCACACAAGTCCTGAGCTTTGGAGCCAGACAGCTGGCCCTGCACTGATACTTAGAGCAGTTCCCTCTATTGCAGAGCATGAAGCAGTGCTCTGGTCCTCCCTACTGCTACACCTCTGCCCCTGCCTCAGCCTCCTCCTCTGGCAGAGAGGGGATGGGCAGAGCTGGAGCTGCAGTGAAGGGAACTGATCTTACTGTCAGGATAAGAGCAGCCCACATCCCCCTCTTCCGCTCACAATACTAATTAAACCCCATATCCCATTCACTTTGAATGCTGTAGAAAACTTCTAACTTGGCTGCAGATGTAACCTAACCAATTTTAGGCCAATACAACTTTTTTCAGAATGAGAACCAAAATCAGGATTGAAATGGAAACTCAGTTATAACCTTAACTATACAGTGACTTTTCCCACTCTGGAATAAGTTTCTTTGTAAGGGTGCTTATATCAACTTTCCTCTAAAATTAAAGAAACAGTTCCACCCCCTGTCCTTACCACCACTCCAGCAGCCAAAAAGTCTACCACAATCCACATCTTAGAAAATCAAAGAGGACTAATGTATACTTGGCTTGCAGAAAGCAAATATGTTAGTTATGTCCTAGGTCCCAAACACTTTCGCATGGTGTCTTTCCATACTTCATACCTTGGAGTAAATTGTACATTTGTTATTTATGCAGAAATCATCAAAGAGAGAGTACATATGAAATTTGTTTACCTTTAATCCTCCCTTGTCATCTGGCAACATCGGGGTATTTAAAGATTGTCTACTTCTAGAACAGGGCAAAGATGATTTGTTGTTCTGCTTACCCTTGTCTTTGTCTACTTGCATGCAGGCTGATGCTAGTTGACGTACAAGTTCTGTGTCTAGAAAAAACAAATTCAGTTTTTGTTTTGTTTTACTTGTAAATGTCCTTTCATCTCAAATGTATAACCAGGATTGATGTGCTGAAGCTGCTCCTATGCATTCTGTGAGAGTGTAAGGCAACAGCACCAGACACACAGGTCTAAAATTCTGGTGCCAAGGGCTCCCTGTTTTGCCCTCCCTCTTTATTCTTGTCCAGGTGAAACTTCTGTAACATTCAGATACAAAGGTGGATTGACCACAAATATTGAATGGTGGCCCTGCGCGCAGTGAGCTGCTGACTTACACCGTGGTACTTATACCACCCGATCTACAGAAGCATTATCAGTGCTTGATTCACTAGAACTAGACTAAAGAGTATTGAACAGCAAGAAGAGAGCTCTGCTCAGTCAGAATCAAGAGAATCACTTTAACAAATGAACCTAACAGCTGCTTGATGTGGGCTAAGAAAAACATCAAGAAGGTACTTTTTCTTACCTGAGACAGAAGAAGAGAGCAGAGAGAAAGGATATTCTCTTCTCTTTCCTTGAGCATAGGCTGGAGGGAGGAAGTTTGAAGACAAATTCCAGAGGGAAGAGCAATGCTCAGATTACACAACAAAAGACTGAAAAGACGTGGAAGAAAGAAAGGACGGAAAAAACAGAAAAAAGAGGGAGAGGAAAGAATGAATATAAGGGTGAAGATGGGAGGGCAAAATGAGGGAAAGAGAGAGACTGCTGAAGAGAAAAAATGCTGAAGAGTGAGACAGAATAAAAAAAAGTATCTGGGAGACAAAAAAAATGACAATGAACCTAGAGAAAAAATAAATTGCACATTTTAAAAGCCATTAAAAACTGCGTAAAAATTAATCTATGGGAAACAAGATAGTGAAAATGATCGAGAATACACCAAGACACAAAGCAGAAAAAAACAAAGTAGAGTGAATGGAAGGGGAAAAATAGAGGAGAATAAACCATAAGCGAGACATATATTAGCAAAGTAGTATTTTGTACTGGCAATACGTATTCTCAAAACAAAGTGTGGGTCCTTGACAGCACTGAAGACAATAGGAGTTTTAGTATTAACTTCACAGGGGTCAGGATTTCACCCAAAGTTTTTAATGAAATACACAAGGGTTAGAGATGGGATCTGCAAAAGTATCTAAGGATTACTGTGTGGCCACCTGTTTCAAACAGCCATATGTCAAAGCACACTGTGGACCTTTTGTGTATTGTAGCAATGTCTATATGGGATGTTACTGCACAGAAAGCTAGTGCACTCTAGAGTCACACTCTGGCTTGCTGAGCAGTAACGTGTCACAAAGACAAGATCCAAGAGCATTAGGAACACCTAAGGGAGCTAGGACTTTCAGTGGGGACTGGTTTTGCTAACTTAAGCGCTTTTGAAAATCTAATGCCAGATTATTTTACATGCTGCAGTGGAAAGGGACAGGATGATCTAAGGGGAGATGGACTAGTGGAAGATTTGACAGTGGCTGGGAGGGAGACTTGAGTGTGCAGAGTTAGTAAGCACAAGGAGTGGAATAACATGACTTTTAGGGGAGCATAGACATTTTGTATTTGGAACTAAATATGTGTGTCTTTGCAGTGCTGATGCTTGAAAAAAGTTCTGTAAAACTTTCTTATTTCCAGCAGAACCAGAAGAGACTTTCAGAAGGAATGAACTGGCCTACACAGTAGCCTGACTGGGTAGAAAACCAGAAGCCTTCATCAGCTCTGCAAGTTGACATTCACCACAAGAAAAAACACTTCAGTAGATTTCCTCCCCCCCCCACCCAAAATTTCCCCACTATTGCTGCCCTGGGTGCAGCTCTACTAGTGAGAGCACCAATCCAGATAAAATACAGGTACCTGTCAGTTATTAAAGAACTGACAATCCTCAGCCCCTTGTGTACACCAGAGCTCCCACAAGTGATTCTGCAATAGCGGGAAACTTTAGAGAACACAGCTGAGAAAGGAGTCTCTGTTGTGATGCCCAGAATGAAAAAGATCATGGAGTGGGAGGTGCTCTGCCTGGCTGACTGGGATCTGTGAGCCTGAGGGTTTAACTGCCTGCAGATCACCCAGCCTTCTGCTGCAGTCCTCCTCTCTGCTCCCTGCCTGCACTGTATCAGCACGAGTGCCAAGGACCTGTCAAAGCAGTAGCTTTCCTGAATTCATTTTCTTTCTCTACGTTTTTGCCTGTGATGCTGCAACATGTCACAATATGTACTGTCAATAACCCATAGTATAGCTTGGAACACTGTCCAATCAAGATGTCAGTACAGCTCTACTGATTGCCATTCAACACTAGTCAACTAGGTGATAACAGAACTAAGAACTATTTAGCGTTCAGTTTTTTTCACCTTCCCTATTATGATTATTATTTTTTATTATTATTATTTTGTTGAAGTCCTCTGCCTGTTCGTTCATTCTCTCTCTTGGAAGGAGTGAAGGAAATACAGAGATAGCAAAGGTTAATTCCATCAGAAACAGTATTCTTTGACTTCAGAAAAGCCAGTTCAGATACAGGTAAGAATAACAGAAAAGTGCCAAATAATGTAAGCTAAAGTCATTTATTTGATAGCTTAACAGAAACATTAAAAACATTTTAACAAAGCCTCATTTAAGGTGTTTTTCCTTTCTTTCTAGGATGTTTTTCAATAAAAAGATGTTGGACTCCTCAAATATGACTTTTACTCGATCTGACAAAACTAAAAAAGAGATTTGCCCAGGAGTTCCCCACTTTCCAGATGATGGCACCCACTCTTTCCTTTCCTTTTACTGTTGGTTACTAAAACATCAGTGCAAGTGGACGCTTTCACCTTCATAATTATTCTATATTTTTACTCTCTATTTTTAGTGATATCACAGGAGAGTCTTTGGGCCATCATAATTCACATCACTGAAAAGACATTGGTGACACAAACATTGCATTTTTACACCACACTTGAAAAATCAGGCAGCAGGAATAAACAGATTCTAAAAGGACAAGCTATACCCCATATATTTCCGTACATTTCTATTTGACCCTTTAATCCAGTAAGCATACTGTTTCCAGAAAATAATCTCTCTCTGTCACATGGAACTCATGGGAGATTATTTTCTACAACTCAAGTGTATTTTCTAAATTAGAAGGGATGTTTTCTTTGTTGCATATACTGTTATTGCAAGCATTTCCTTTGGGCTCTGTGACATAACATACCTGGATCGTTCAGTAGCATTATCAGATCAAAGGCTGTGTATCCATTTTTTGCACGTAGATTGACATCAGCTCCGCGATTCAACAAATACTTAACAACATCTTTATTTCTTTAAGGAAAAAAGAATTGGTCACATATGTGAAAGAGTGTTAATGTTCCATCTCTTCCCTCTTATGCCACACTCTTTTTCCTGAATTAGAATTTGTCCAGATATTGTCTATAGACAACCTAGGTGGCTCTCAATTCTGTGGGACTGGCGCCAGTAAGGAACCTTCTAACATAGAAAGTGAGGCATCACTGCTGATGGGGGGAAAACAGTGGACCCCTCACATCAAAATCTTTGCAACAAATTAGAATGCTCCTGGCTATCTGCAGAACAAGTTTGGCACTCAGGGTCTCCAGCACTGAAGTCCCCAGATCTGCCATTCAATTCTTGGATCCATAGTCGCAATGTTTCTTCTTCTGCTATTTCTTCAGAAGAGAGTTCTGGTTCAATAACTGGGCTCCCTAAGTACTTTCCTCCTCTTATTCTCCATGGGGTGAGGAGTGGTTGATGGAACTAGAGACTGAGGCTTCTGACCCAGTGCTAATCCGCACTGACAGGGTTCCACTTGGTACCAGCTTGGTACCCTGGGTCTCCAAGCCACTTACTGGAGATAAGGCCCACTAGAGAAACCTGAGGGTCCCAATACCAAAATTGATGCTTCTTTTGAAGCTAGCACCAAGGAAAATCACATCAACAATACTACAAGTTTCAGCACCTAAGAGAGGCCTGTTTCTCACCGGCATAGGACTTACTGTTCCTTGGCATCAGTATCTAGAATTTTTAGTTAGCTTGCCCTCTGCTTTTCTGAACCAATATCTAACTGATTACTTTTGAGTCCATATCTAGGAAGTAGAATAAACCCTCTCCTACCACTAATCAAGGGGAAAAATCACTTACCCATGGTATGTGGCCTGCATTAGGGCTGTCCAGCCATGAACATTATCTTGTTTGTCAATGTCAGCATTTCTCTCAACAAGCAGCTGTACAAGAGCCAACTGTCCAGTTACAGCTGCAATCATCAGTGGAGAAGCACCATCACCATTAATAATATTAACTTGATTTGGGTCTTCATCTGCAATCTCTTTAACCAGCTGAAAATTTCCTATGAAGAAAGTCACAAAACACAATAATGTTGTATATTAGGAATAGACAATTTATCAGCCTCTAAATTAATATATATTTTGATTTGCTAACATTGACAAAAATATTCTTACTTAAAAAAAAATAAAGAATCAAAATATGTATCACCTTCAAAATGTTTTATTGTACTATGAAAATTAAATGAAATAGCAACATCAACAGAAATATAATTACTTCACATACACTATAGCTCCATCTACATTAGAGAACTGCACTATTTCAAGTTTAAATGTTACAACTAAGAATTTGTAGTGCTATTTGTTCCTTCAGCTGATCAGCATATCTGTCCTGTTTTGCATAAACTGGCGGAGTGTATCCATACAAATTGCTCCCTCCAGTCTTTTCCTGTGCACCACAGCACTATCCCATAATTCCAAGGATAAATCCCTAGAGCAGGTGTATTAAATGGTATATTAAATATTATGCAGACATTGGTACTGACTCTGTAGTTAAGGTTGCAATTTGATTTGCACTTAAACCAGGCCTAAAATCCTGTTTCACTTTCATGACTGTACGTGGTGTCAAAACTTTACCACCAAGGAGCCTGTTAGCCTCTGAGGCCGTGTTACTTCTACTGTACTCTAGCACCTTAACAGATTTGAGAGGACTCTGAGGAAAAAAGGGAAGATGGGTGGATAGCATGAATGTAGGGAAGCAACACCCTTGAAGAACTGCAGTTATTGGCAAGTATCATCTCTTTCTTTGTCAGGGTAATATCTGCCCATTTCCAGTAATACTAGTTTGACAAGCAGTACAAACTCCAGAAATGGTGGGCTGAAGAGTTTTTAATTTAACATCAATTGTAAAAGCATCAGATCTGGAGGTAAGTTTAGGTATTATCATTGTGTAAACATAATCTTATGCTTCTCAGTTTGAATGTGATAAAGACAACCACAGGAGGTACTTCCTGTTGAACTGGCACAAAGTCCTTCTAATTTGGGAACACTAGCTAAAATAAAAACAAGTCTCTGTGCACAATCTAATCCATCTGGACAGATGTCAAGAAACAATGACATTTCCCTTACAATGTTTCTCATATGGAATAAAAAGAAATCTAAGTAATTTTCTAAACACCCTACATTTATCTAAGTAATAACTCAACGCTCTCTTAAAATCCACAGTGTAAAGTCTAACTTCTTCATCAGGTGCATGAGGCTTATGGGAAACACACACACACCAGAAAGTTAATTATCTCATTAAGGTCTTGGGGTGGGTACATATAACAACCATGGCCTTGTGAAAAACTGGAAATGGAGGGTCAGGCACAAGACTCTATAGTTTACTCACTCTCCTCATTCATGTCACCGTCATCAGGAAGCCTCTTTTTCTCAATAGGATAGTGAGCATCAGATCCCAGACGGCAACTGGGTCTTTGACTGGTAGAAAAGCATTAGCTAGGCCCTTCAAGAACTTTTTCACTGTTGAGTGCCACAACACTTTGCTATTGTTGCTCCTCTTTGCTTGATGACTTAGTATATTACAGACTTGTTGTCCTTAATGACCTAGACCACACCACCTCAGGTTTGCAGAAGAAAGGTAAAGAACCCACCTGATAGCAGGCATAAGAGATTTTGTGCTGCTGCATCTGTGGCATCATCCATTTGAATGTTGGTATTTTAAGACAACAGATCTTCAGCTCTTCATTACTATGTCAGATAGCATCACAAGCTGCTCTTCTAAAAAGTCACTGGATTTGTCTCTGGTCTTATAGGTCAGATAGATGAATTGCAAAGATTTTGTTTCAAGTATATTTTTCCTGCACTTGAACCTGGAAGTGAGAATTATGGCTATATCACCTACTAATCTGCATTCTGTGGACTGGGTTGGTGGGCCCAAGTGACCTAGCATGGGACAAATGGTGTCAGCAAGCCAGGTTGCTATGATGTAGACTAGGTAACTCATTTTGCATGAATGGTTGACTGCTGACTTCTACTGATCAGCATAAGGCTGAAATATTTTAATGTATCTGTTTTGACTTTGTTTGGGTAGTCTATTTGCTGTGTACACTGGATTTTAATTTCTTATCTGCTTATCTTTCTAGTCACTGGTGGGTTCTTCCTGTGTTCCTAAGTGTTATACTTCTTGATAACATTTATATCAGATAAGGGTGTATGTAGATGGTCAGTTTGATCAGGGCCATGCTCAAGAATGCATGGGTCTCTTCCTGTACTGATGGAGTCTACAGGTTTAAAGTCTCATCCATGTTGACAGCCATATCCTGGACTTGCTGGGGTCTCATGAGGATACAGAAGATACTCCAGTGTTGTCATCTAGAGAAGTTGATTGTCAATAACAGTTGGGACATCAGCATCCACCCTAACATCCCCTGACAGCCTGGTCATCAGTCTCAGCCAGGGCAAAGGTAGATTAATCTAGTTACACATCATCTAGTCTACTGGCAGGAACTGAGGGACTATATACAAACTTTGAAAGACTGACAGAATCAGCATGGCACAGCTCTTGTTACAGTACTGTCCTCCTGCAACACTGCAAGAAGAATTCTTGATGACTGTCACCCTATCCACCTTGGTATTTCCTTGTAATTGAGTCCTGAAAATGTCGGAGTGGATTTCTCATTTTGATATCCTCCCAGTGTGTCAAAAGAAATCACAGGCAGTGAATGTCTCTTTTAGCTTGTCAGAACCTCTGATTTTACGTCCTTCGATACTCTAAGTATTGATGTAGCTTTTGTTCATATCTTTATCTAAATAGTAAGGAAAGGGCAAAGTAGCCTATAACTCCAGTACACACTGTCTCAATTTCCCATGTTAGCAAGTACAATGCCCTACAGTCTCAAGAAACAGATGTGCTGGTGAATTTTTTTTAATGCTTACCCATTTTCAAAGCATGAAAGACATCAGGCTGCCTCTTGTCATTATCTGAGAAAATACAAATATCTGTATTAAAATTTGAGTCATGTAGCCAAAAATTTGTAGTACAATTAGTTTAGCATAAAAAGTAAAAATATATTGGTGATGTTATCTGATTAGAGTATGACCATGCAAATCATTGTTGCTAACACTGTTATATAATTGCAACAAATCTTATACAAAGTGTGACGCATGGCCAGAAAGGGTTAAGCGGCTCGCAGGCTAAACGACCCAGAGTCAACCTAGAGACATGTTAGAAAAGTACGCAAATGGTAATTAGAGCCATTCCGTGTTAGATAGGCTAGAATTGTGAAATGCAAACCTGTATTGTAAGAGAATTAGAGGTGATACAAATTGTATATGTTCACTTATATCTTGTTAGATGTTATCCATGCAAACAGACTTTCCTATCTGTCACTATAGCTATTCATGCAGAGATCAAAAGGGAATATGAACATTTAGATGAATCTTGGGTGAAGTAATGTCATTGTCTATATGTCTCTTTAAAGTTTGCGATAAACTGCCTAATGGATAAATTGCATTATGTTAATCCATGTAGCTAATTACCGGTAATGCTTAGGAAATAGGTCTACTTCAAAATCTCCATGATTACTGATTGTTTGCCTAAGGACTCTGAGCTGTCAAGAGAAGGCCTGGAACTGTATAAAAATCCCTTGGGTCCTGATCCTTTTTATCTCAGATCTGCTTGATGCTTCATGCAGGGGAAGCTTAAGTCGTAAGACTGAGATCTCCAGTCTCATCTGGATCACCTTGAATATGGACATTGGACTATAACCTATGGACTAATTCTGAAAGAACTCTTTGCAACTACAAAGCTCGCCATCTCTCCTATGAATCTGATCTCAGAACTCTACTCATGTCTGTATGTACATTGATCTTTTAACCAATACTCTCTCTCTTTTCTTTTTAAATAAAGTTTAGTTTACTTAATAAGGATTGGCTGTAAGCATGTATTTGGGTAAGATCTGAAGTATTCATTAACTTGGGAGGTAATGTGTCCGATCCTTTGGGATTGGTAGAACTTTCTTATATGATTAATAAGATTTTCAGTAATCCTCATCATATTTGACTTGGGTGTCTGGGTCGAGGCCTGAGGCTGGGTTGCTTTAAGGCAGTGGTCTCTAACCTTTTTTATGCCCAAGATCACTCTTTGAGTCTAAGGGCAACCCAGGATCTACCCCACCCCTTCCCCAAGGCCCTGCCCCTTCCCCAAAACCCTGCCCCACTCACTCCATCCCCCCCTCTCTGTCGCTCGCTCCCCCCCACCCTCACTCACTTTCACCGGGCTCGGGTAGGAGGTTGGGGTTTGGGAGGGGGTGCATGAGGAGGCATGGGGTACTGGCTCTGGGAGGAGGGTCAGGGTTGGGGCAGAATGTTGGGGTTCAGGAGGGGGTACAGGGTGCTGGCTCTGGGAGGGGGGTCAGGACTGGGGCTTGGGGTGCAGGAGGAGGTTTGGGGTGCTGGCTCCAGGAGGGGGCTCAGAGCTGGGTGTTGGGGTGTGGCCTCCCACCGGGCAGCACTTACTTCCGGCTGCTCCCTGTCTGCAGCAGGTGCAGCCAGGCCAAAGCAAGCTCCCAACCTACGCCGGCCCACACTGCTCCCGGAAGGGGCCAATGCACCTCTGGGCCCCTGGGGGGGGGGAAGAGGGGCAGGGCATGTTGCTCTGCGCGCTGCCCCTCTCTGCAAGCACTGCCCCTGCAGCTCTCCTGGCCAATGGGAGCTGCAGGGGTGGTGCTTCTGGGAGCAGCATAGGGCCAGAGTAGGCAAGGAGTCTGCCTTAGCGGCAGCCACGCTACACCACCGGAGATCGCAATCAACTGGGAGATCCTCTAGGATCTCCCAGTTGATCGCGATTGACCTGTTGGTGACCACTGCTTTAAGGGAACTGTGTTGTTGGCTTCTGGGTAATCAGTAAGATATTAGAGAAGCTGTTTTGTGCTGGCTTGGTAAATCTAAGTATTGGAATATCCACCAGCTTTGTGGATTGTCTGGCCCATTCTTTGCAGTTCACCCTGAGTACCCCACTGTGGCTCCCTGGGACCGCCGTCACAATATTCTACGTATAATTATGTACATTTCGGCTTCTATTTGATCAGTAAAGAAGAAAGCACAAAGAAAATAATATAGGCCCTGTGGGAGCAGAGGTCCACCTGCAAGGTTCTCAGTGCAGGATCAGGACTACAGACTGAGTAGAGTTGTTTGCCACTCAACATCTATTCTGTATAAGGGAAAGAAATCTTTAAATTTATACAGTAAATGTATACTCTCTGGAAGAGTAAAATATCTGTTAAAGGATGACATTCACTTCAGAAAGTCCACAATAAGGTTCAAAGCATTAGTGTGAATTTCTGGGATAAAATGTATGGGCTTCTGCGCTGGGGTAAATATTCCCAAAGTGCATGTCTACTCTGAAACATAACTAAAAATGGCTTTGTGGCGTTCCATTTTCATTCCTACTCATGGATTTCCACATCAAATTTGCTCAGTTCCATATAAAAAATTATTTTTCTAAACTCCGTTTCCAAGGCCTTCATTTCCATCCTTATCAATGATAAAAGAACATAAGAATGGCAGGGTCAGATCAATGGTCTATCTAGCCCAGTATCCTGTCTTCCAACAGTGGCCAGTGCAAGATTCTTCAAAGGGAATTAAAAGAACAGGGCAATTATCAAGTGATCCATCCCCTGCTGTCCAGTCCCAGCATCTAGCAGTCAGCGGATCACAATTCTGCAAATGAAATTATTCCAATTTTAAGTTTTTTAGGGCATGGAGTTTGTCTTCATAAATTTCTGTGAAGTGTCTAGGAACTGTTGGCACCACATAATTAAGGAAAAAAGTGATATATTCTGTTATGTGTATACAAGTCAGATAATAAATCCAGCTCCCTCTTCCAGAGGGTTATTGGCACGTCAGTGCTAACAGGAGTATAAAGTAATGACATATTTGAAATGAAATCAAGAAAAGCTGGACAGACCTACTAAGTTAGAAGTTGCCATTTTTACACAGACAGCTTTCTGTCCATAACTGGACTTCACAGGAAGTAATTCCAAAATACTGCATAGCGTCAAATGCTGGGAGGAAGAACCAAAGGAAGAATTTGAATTCCTTGGTCTCTTTAAAACTGGGAGCAGTAGGTAATACCTGGTTCTAGTCACATGCACTAGAGGCAAAGGGCCAGAAAGGAGAGACTCTGGGTCAGAAAAGGACCTGGAAAGGGGAACTCCTTGCACCTGTCTAGTTAAAGTCCAGATAGGAAGACACCTACAGGGAACTGCGGTTGGCTGGGAGAAAACCTCAGCTGGAGACCCCCTGGACAAAGGCATATAAGGACTGTGAAGCCCTGGAGACAAGGGTTAAGACAACACCCTGAAGGGCAGTCAGAATATTTTGGGTTTTTTGTTTTAATTTTGCAGATTTAAAAAAACCCTGAGAAGAAAATTTGAAGTGTCCTGTTGTTTAGGGGGTGAATTCTCCTTCCCTCTCCAGGTGCATCAGCCAGCCATCTTACAGCATATTAGCAGAGACTTAAGAGCTGCAGAACTCATGTGAGTGTCCCTTTCTGCTGCCTTGCCCCTTTCAAGAGAAATGCCCTTCGTGTCTGAGTATATAGCTAGAACCAGTGTGTGGCAGAGATTAAGGCCTTGTCTACATTAGCACTTATGTGAAAAAACACACACCCTGAGCAACATATATTTTGCTGGCGTAATTTCTTTTGCCCAACAATTCCTGCATCAGACCCAACAATTTGTGGATGAACTACAGTATATATTTTAAAAACACATTCACTCTTGCTTTAAAGCCTTCAACCAATAAAGAATTTACCACATTCTTTGGTGGTCTGTTCCAAAAGTTAATTATTTTCTTTGTTAAAAAATTGTCTTATTTCCATTTAGACATTCCATTCCAACATTACTATGCCTTTGTCTGCTAAACTGAAGAGCCCTCCAGTATAAGATTTCTTGTCTCTACGGAGATGTATTTAGATTTTGATCTAGTCACCTCTTAACCTTCTCTTTGTTAAACTAATAAGACTGAGCTCCTTTAGTCTCTCACTGTAAGGCAGGATTTGTAGACTTGAATCATTCTTGTAGCGCTTCTCTGAATTGTCTTCAGTTTTTCAACATCTTTGCCTCTTTGGGTAAATCTTTTTATTTTCCCCCTAAAAGAGCACACATAGGATCCCACTTGGAACACCAATTTTTTTGTTTTAATTTTTCAAGTCAAATTCACAGTCTTGTTGCCATAAAACTATGGAAATACCAACATGCCTCCATGTTATTTGGAGGAAATCTGCTTGCAGGCGAAGGTGAGTAAATCCATTCCAAGAACATCTAGATCACGATCCCTGTGCCTCGAAGTACAAAATGTACATTAATAACTACTTCTTTGATTCTTATGTCTCAAAATGTCTAACCTAAGCCCTGCAGCAAGGAAACCAGAAGAATAGTAGCCCATACCTGTCAGGCGTCTGATTGTTGTTAGTGATTCCAAATAATCTTTCATGTCTTTATCTTTGAAGCCACTGGAGATTTCAAAAGGTGTTTTATGCAGCACATTTAGGTGGTTAGGATTGGCTCCCTTGTCCATGAGTTGTTGTGCCAAGCTCACCTTTCCACTAACAGCTGCCAGCATTAGAGGACTCCAGCCCACAGTCTTCACAGTGTAATTACAATCAGCTCCCCAGTCCAGCAGCAAGTGCACCACTGCCTCATATCCATGCTGTGCAGCTGCTATTAGTGGTGTTATATCGGGAAGTTCCTCTTTGCTGTTGTCAACCAAACTGGTATTAAAATGGTCATAATTATCAACAAAAGCTCCAGATTCCAGCAACAATTTCACGACACTGACGTGGCCACCTCTAGAAGCCATTGTAAGTACACTGGCTCCCAGCTTATTCTGTGCATTGAGATCAGCACCATTGTCCAACAGGATGTGAGCCACGGTTAGATGTCCAAACCTTAAGAGGAGGAAAAAGAATTGAAAAAAGAACCAATTCTATTGTAACAAATATCTTCTATAGAGAGCATGTGAGAAAATTTTGCTACAGCAGATATCCAGTATGCTAACCTCTCATATTGTACCTACATCAACTGAAAATGTACCATCTGGACTCAAGGCTATCACCGCTGCCCAGCCCCCATCCTTTGACATTGGATATTAGGAAAAACTTTTGCACTAGGAGGGTGATGAAGCACTGGAATGGGTTACCTAGGGAGGTGGTGAAATCTCCTTCTTTAGAGGTTTTTAAGGTCGGGCTTGATAAAGCCCTGGCTGGGATGATTTAGTTGGGGTTGGTCCTGCATTGAGCAGGGGGTTGGACTAGATGACCTCCTGAGGTCCCTTCCAATCCCGATTATGATTCCATGATTTAGAAGAATCCACAGAACTGTAAAGATCTGAACAAAACACAAATGTCCCAGATCAAGAAGGTATTTAAGAATATGAGTAATTTTAAACATGTGAATAATCCCATATTGAACTTACATGCTTAAAATTCTGCACATACTTAAGGAATTTCCTGAATCAGGGCCTAAAAAAATAAAAGTATTGTTTTAATACTATTACTGGTTGATCTGCCACTGTGCACAGGTGTTTTCATTGTAAATCCCTATGATCAGATATAGTCACTTTTAGGGGGGTTATTTCACTTTCCAAATAGAAATCTTTCTTCACCACAAACTTCTCCCCACCCCCAAGCTTTTGAAAGTTTAGAAGGGAGGTTTTATTTGTTTCTTTTAAATTACCAGTCCAATTAACAACTGGCCTAGTAGTTCAAAACTTCAAATTCAATTTTTCTTCCTATAAATAAGCTTCTACTGCTGTGAGCTCTGCAGAGCCAATATAGCTCTGAGAGAATGAGAGAGATTCTTAACCATCCTGTGGGGGGGGAGGGGGGGGAGACAAAAAAGTTACAACTACAGAATATTTATTATTGGGGATGAACCAGAAAGACCTAAGCTTGGCTGTGGTGAAAGATACTAAAAAAAGGTAAAGTTAGCGTTCAGTGTACAAATCAAAAGGAAGGGGGAAATGTTCAAGTACAATAATTTCAGTTTCAAATGCGTGGGGCTTTTAATAAATATCTCAGTCGCAGTATCCTGCAGGAGATTGGAAACAGGCAAGTATGGGGGGGAGGGTTAGGAGGAAGGGGGGGTTGTTTTGTTGTTTGTTTAAACACTACCATGATATTTTTTTATATCATAAGAATCAGGATATTTCCCTCATTCTTGCCTCACCTTCTCTCCCCCACAATCTCCCCCGTTGGCTCCTGACAAAAGAGGTTTTCGTAAGTTCCAAGAGGAAAAGCAATGACAGCATAGCCAGAAAATGCCTCCCTGTCAGATTTTGCTACCAGTAGCTGAGTGTACAACAATTATCATCTGCCCCATAAAACATGCTGCCCTTTCTTACCACAGTAAATGATCATAATTTTATATTTGTCACATAAGAGTATTTTTTGGTAATTCATGTATTACTGTATATATATAAAAGTTAACCAGAAATGTTTAACTTTGTTGATTTATGGTAAATTTAATAAGGTGTTTGAATTTGCATTTGAGAGTGATCGTGTATCATCAATTAGCATAAAATAATTTGTTCCTTTTCCACATAGGATTTGACATTACGCTTATACTCTGAGAGTACAGATTTAAGGAAAGTATTTATTCTGGATCATAGATTGTGATAAAATATGCACTTCTGTTATAATAAGCCTGATTCTCCATTTATATAAAACCCAATCTATCCCCCAGGCACCAATTCAGCCCCCGCACTCTGACCCCGCTTCCCGGGAGGAGCGCCAGGATGTGGGGGGGACCATTGCCAGGTGTCCAGTTTTCAACTGCAACACCTGGTCAAAAAGGGACCCTCCCCAGCCCAGTGAAAATGAGTGAGTGAGTGAGGGTGGGGGACACCAAGTAACGGAGGGAGGGGGGATGGAGTGGGGCGGGGTCTCAGAGAAGGGGCGGGGCAAGGGTGTTCGGTATTGTGTGATTAGAAAGTTGGCAACCCTAACCCTGCGTGGAAGGGGTAGGGAGGGGCCCCCATTTGCTCTGGCCCAGGGCCCCACAAAACTATTATCTGCCTCTGCATGTCCTGGCTCGAGCACCACTGTTCTCTTGTTATTCTTACCTGCCTATGACCCCCAAGGGGCCTATTCCACTTACTGTGCAGGAATTTATGCCAAAGCAGACCCCATGATGTGAAAATCGAAAGGTGAGTTAGAACTCCCCTTTCTCTGCTCAGCTATGGAGATGAAGCCCATATTTTTATAAACAACCAGCAAACAATATCTATTTTAAGCTGCTTGACACAGCTAAGGTGTCTTCCTACATACGTTTATACAGTGTTTAGTACAATGGAGCTCTGCACCCAAAAGGGGCCTTTGTGCATTACAGCAATACAATTATAATATATTTGAGGAATCACCATATTATTAGAATAAAGAGGATAAGGGAACTAACTATGCTAACAGGTGGGGTTTAACATCCATATTTCTCTGGTACATATGAAATAGTTGTGGAAGAAATGTATCAGAGAAAATAATCTTCAAGCAATAAATTACCCCAATATGGCCCTGATCCTCCAAATACTTGTGCACCCAACTGACTTCCACACATAGGCAGTCCCACTGATTTCAACTGGACTATGTACATAAATAAAGTTAAGTACACCTCTACCCCGATATAACGCTGTCCTTGGGAGACAGAAAATCTTACAGCATTATAGGTGAAACCGCGTTATATCGAACTTGCTTTGATCCACCGGAGTGTGCAGGCCCCCCCCACCCCGGAGCGCTGCTTTACCATGTTATATTTGAATTCGTGTTATATCGGGTCACGTTATATCGGGGTAGAGGTGTATATGAGTAAGTGTCTGTGATCTGGAGCTTATCTTTTTAAGGACTGTAGAAAGCATTAGTCAGTGAAAGTACAGGGTGTGCAAGCAATAAATTTCCTTAGTATTTTTTGTTGTGCCACTGACATAATTCACTAAAGACAAAGGCTATTCTCCAGCCACTTTCAGTTTTCTCCATGAGCTTTAATGAAGCAGAAATCTCTGTGCAGTATTTTAAAAAATGACAGTTTCTAAAAAGTGACCTGAGGAAGTCTTGTGCCCTTTTTTGCAGTGTTATTGTTTTTAGAGAAGGTTTCTGTTTGTTTTTTATTTCAGAAATACCAGGATTGTTAAATTTTGTCTTCCCTGTTCTTACTTGAGAACTAGTTGAAGGACTTGTACATTGGGAGCTTTCTGTGGTTTTTAGCTGCAGCTGTTGACTCTTGACAAGATTTTTTTCTTCAAATGTTTTAAAGCAATGGACTAAAAAATAATATTTTTCCCTCTCAATCAAGTGCTCGATTATTTTAGTAAACTCTTAGGTTCTGCAATCCAATCCTGCAAAAGACTTAAGACCTATGAAGTACTCACACATTTAAAGATAACACATGCAAACATTTGCAGGGTTGGGGCCTTAGACAGTACAGTGACAAATGCTATAGTAAATTCTATGACTGATACAGCAGATGAAATCTGATTCTCTTTATTGACAGTTATAAACTAATAGTCTTCCATTTTGTCCAGTGAGACTTTTAGAAAAATTAGGTAAAGCCCGTTGAAATAGGAGTCTTTTCACTGGCTTTAGTGGGCTTTGGATCAAGTTCTCTAAGTCAACCAAAGAAACAAAACCAAATAAAATAAACTTTCAGGCATATTGTATTCCCACAGGGGAAGAAAGAGGTGCAAAACAGTTATTTTTTATTTGTACATCACTTTTAAAAATACAGGTTTCACTTATGATTTGGTAAAATTTATGTAATTTATAGATCTCTATTCATGACCTGTACCACTATTTACTGTAATTATAATAAACTAAAGGCCAATGAGAAAAGAAATGTGCTAACACTAAATTCTGACATTTATTCAATTTCACACTTGCTGTGCCTTTCCTCACGAGCAAAATGTAACTTTCTTGCAAGTTATGGGATTGTTTAAACTAATATTTTAAAATAACTTTTTTAAAAGCAAAAATATTCCAGCATACAGAAGTGCACATTATGGCTCCTACATGTACAGATACAAATTTGACCATATAGATAATTGTTGCAACTACTGTTATATATTTGCAGAAAATGTTGTACAAAGGTTGTAGAGTAAGATGTCTATGAAAAGGTTATGATTTGCTGGTTATGATTATGCTATCTGTATGCATGTACCATTTTTGTTTTTAAAGTTATAAGTATTGACTCTATGCCTGGATTTCAAATGTTGGCTCCTGAGGTAACACCCAAGAAGTAATCATCCAGATATGCCATGCAAGATATCTGCAAAAATGTTATTATTTGCCAGACATGACAATCTTGTTTATATGTTTGTATTATGAGTTATAGACATGTCTGTATTTCAAACTTAAAATCATGCAGGGACATGCCTATGGAGAGAACTCTAAGGCTTCCAAGCCATGTACTGGGCAGCTTGTGTTTGAAACAAAGGAAGCACAGGCCTCATGGCAAGAGACTGTAAAAGGCAGCTGCATCTTCTCCATTTGGTCTTCATTCCTGCTTCTTACCTCTGGAGGAACTTTGCTACAAACTGAAGCTCTGAACAATGGACTGAATGACCCATCCAAGATGTGGATGTACTCCAGAGATTTGACTTAAGCCAGCAGTTTATCCCATCACTGCTACAAGCCTAAACCAAGATTTTTGCCATTACTGTGTGTAATTGATTCCTTTAATCAATTTTAACTGTCACCTTTCTTTCTTTTTATAAATAAACCTTTAGCTTTTAGTTAATAAGAATTGGCTGTAGAGTCTATTTGGGTAAGATCTGAAACATTCGTTAACCTGGCAGGTAATGCGTGCAATCCTCTGGGATTGGTAGAACCTTTTCTTTTATATGATTAAATAAGATTTACAGAAATTTTCATCATATTTGACGTGGGTACCTGGACTGAGGCCTGAGGCTGGATCACGTTAAAGGAACTGTGTTGTTTGGACTTCTGAGTAACAATAAAAAAGCTGTTTTATGCTGGCTTGGTAAATCTAGGTATTGGAATATACACCAGCTTTATGGGGATTGTCTGCCCCATTCTTTGCAGTTCACCCTAACTGAGTGACCACAGCTGGCTCCCCAGGAGGACCCCATTTACAAGATGTTTGGAGCTATTGCTAATAGTTTGAATGATCAAAAACAGAATCCCTGATCTGTCCAGAGTGCAGATTGATTCTCCCAAAGGACTGGGTCTATGATACTTTGGCTACTCTTAGGGAAACTGACTATTGTTTATTATGGGCTCTAACCACGGGTAAGTGGAGGAACAGACACACTCCAGGTCGTGTGTAAGTGACGATGCTCAGGAAGGAACGTCTCTGCTCTGTGCTGACCACTCCCCCAGGTTTCCTCTGCTCTTCAGCAGGGCACGTGGGGATTGTTTTGTTTTCTAACTGGCTTCCTTGAAATGAAGAAACAACAGGGCCCCTTTATGAACACCAAACCCAGGTCAAACCGGGGCGGGGGGAAGGGGGAGGAGCAGCCCCAATAGCAGCCGTTCTGCTAGAGAGGAGGCATTGCCCAGGCCGCTGCCACCCAACCTCTGCCCTCCAGGGCCCCGCTGCGCTCCAGTCGCTCTCGCCCCCCGGCCACGGAGCAGGGCGGTCCCCACCCAGCCCCAGGCACCCTAGCGCTGGGCTCGGGCGGCCGGAGCATGCTCAGTGGCTGCGCGGGAGCGGATACGGGCAGGGCCCGGCCCTACCTGGCCGCCTGCATGAGCGGGCTCCAGCCGTAGTGGTTCCGGCTCTGCACCGAGGCCCCTTTGCGCAGCAGGAACCGCACCAGCTGCTCGTGGCCCCCGGCCGCGGCGAACTGCAGCCCCGTGTTGCCGGCCTCGTCCGTGCAGTCCACTGGCACCGAGGGGGGGAGGCGCTGCCGCCTCCCTGCCCCGGACTCCGCCGCCTCCTCCGCCCCGCAAGCGGAGCCGCCCGCCGCCTCCGCGCCGCCCCCGGGCAGCCCCAGCAGGCGCCGGGCGCTCTCGTAGTCCCCCTGGTCGCAGGCGCGGAGAAACAGCTGGACCTGGGTGGGAACCCCGCATTCCCCCATCGGCAGCGCCCGCCGCGGCGTGCGAGCCCCGGGCAGCTGGCGGCCCCGCTCCCCGCGTCCGCCCCCGGCGCGGGCCTCGCCGGCCTGGCAGGGGGGCTCGGCGCTCCGCCCGCGGGAGGGCAGCCGGTGTAGTGTTACACCCCGCGCTCCCTGACAGCGTGGTGCTCCTTGGCGCTCTGCTACCCCTCGCCTTCCCCGTCCTCTGGGCCAGGGCGGCGAATGGGGACTGAGGTGGGAAGGCCTGACACAATTAGGCAAGGAGGACTTGTGGCACCTTTAGAGACTAACCCATTTATTTGAGCATGAGCTTTCCTGAGCTACAGCTCACTTCATCGGATGCTGAGCTGTAGCTCACGAAAGCTCATGCTCAAATAAATGGGTTAGTCTCTAAGGTGCCACAAGTCCTCCTTTTCTTTTTGCGGGTACAGACTCTGAAACCTGTCACAACTAGCTGGCTCTCCCTTTCCCCAGCTCCCGGGGCAGGGCCTTGCGATGGTTGGGGGTGCACTGTCACAATGTGCTACTACTGTGAAACCTGCATTTTCAATTTGGACACAAAGACAGACATTTTGGTAATCTGGAAAACCGTTCCACAGAGTTAAACTGCAGGGCTAGCCTATGTAAAACTCTGAATGAAGATGTTCTTTCTTAGTCTCTTTCCATTGTAGATTAGGCCATATAGTTTCTATAGTAAACAAACATTTTATGTACAGGAAACACTGAAACTAGTGCAAAGCATTGTAAACAGTATTTGAAATACATTTTAAACACAAGCTGTTAGGCAGAATAACTTCCATTGTTTCTTATGCAGCCTTCCCCCTCCCTATTGGCAGTTACACATACTGATCAAGTTTTCAACCTGATCTGCTTACCCACTTTGGCAAAACATATCAGTATATTGCCCCAGCTCTTATTTCAGAGACATTTTCTCAGGCCTTTTCCTCACTTCAAACTGAAGTGCCTTGTCCTCACTGTGTTTTTCATAGACTCATAGAACTGGAAGGGACCTCGAGAGGTCATCGAGTCCAGTCCCCTGCACTTGTGGCAGGACTAATTATCTATACCATTCTTGACAGGTGTTTGTCTAACCTGCTCTTTAAAATCTCCAATGATGGCGATTCCACAACCTCCCTAGGCAATTTATTCCAGTGCTTAACCACCCAGACAGGAAATTTTTCCTAATGTCCAACCTCAACCTCCCTTGCTCCCTTTAAGCCTATTGCTTCTTGTCCTGTCCTCAGAGGTTAAGAAAATCAATTTTTCTTCCTCCTCCTTGTAACAACCTCTTACATATTTGAAAACTGTTAACATGTCCCCTCTCAGTCTTCTCTTTTTCAGACTAAACAAACCCAATTTTTTCAATCTTCCCTCATAGGTCATGTTTTCTAGACCTTTAATCATTTTTGTTGCTCTTCTCTGGACTCCAATTTGTCGACATCCTTCCTGAAATGTGGCACCCAGAACTGGACACAATACTCCAGTTGAGGTCTAATCAGTGCAGAGTAGAGCAGAAGAATTATTTCTCATGTCTTGCTTACAACACTCCTGCTAATACATCCCAGAATGATGTTTGCTTTTTTGTAACAGCATTACACGGTTCAGGGCCGTCCTTACGCATATGTGAAGCATGCAGCTGTGTAGGGCACCAGGAAATTTGGGGCACCAAATTCCCTGGTGCCCTGCGCAGCTGTGTGCTGCTCCAGACTGCGCACTGGCTCTTCCCTAAGCCTCCGCCCCGTTCCACCCCAGCCCCGCCCCCACTCCCCTGATGACTCCAGAAGCAGTTGGGCCTGCACTCACCAGTAAGTAGAGCAACCCGGCTCCAGCCCGCTCCGCTCCCCTGATTCCCAGCCACACCGCCGGCGAGTGCTGGGGGGCGGTTCCCCCCTCCCCCCAAGCCTGGGAGCCAGGAGAGCAGAGCAGCCTGGGGTCCCAGGCCTCCACAGGCAGGAGCAGGGAGGGGCTGTGTGGGGCCCCAGGCCTCTGCAGGGGATGGGCAGTGGAGGGGCTGGCCACTTCCTGTGGGAAGTTGAAGTTGAAGTCCCCTGGCTCTCAGGCTTGGGGGGAATTGCCCCCCAGCACTCGCCGGCGGCGCGGCTGGGAGCCAGAGGAACAGAGCAGGCGCTCTCCTGCCGACATAAAACTTCCACCCCCAATGAGCAGCATTAGTGTTGTTGGAAGGAGAGTGCTCCTGCGGACAAAGAGCTGTTCACGCTGGCACTTGTCAGCAAAACTTTTGTCTTTTGGGGGTGTGTTTTTTTAACATCTCTGAACAACAAAAGTTTTGTCGTTCAGTTGCCAGTGTAGACATATTTCAGAGTAACAGCTGTGTTAGTCTGTATTCGCAAAAAGAAAAGGAGTACTTGTGGCACCTTAGAGACTAACCAATTTATTTGAGCATGAGCTTTCGTGAGCTACAGCTCACTTCATCGGATGCAGACATGTCTAGACATAGTTTCACCAAAGGCAAAATAGGTGAGGTCAGCACTATGCCACCCGAGCCAACCAATGCAAGGTGCAACTGGATAAATCATCTTACAAATCCTTGGGTTTAGCATTACAGAACAGTAAACTTGTCAGAAAGAAGAACATCACTGAAATGTATCATAATCAAATATGTAGCATACATAAAAGGCTATGAAATTAAAATATGCAATTAGAAATATAAACAATTGCATAGAAAAATCAACATTTATTTGTACAACAAATGAAGTAATAGGAGAGTAAAATGTGCACTTCGGTATTTTCAGGATAGGGAATTACTTACAGAAATAAGGAATTTTAATACATTTTCAATTACAAAAGAAGGTAGTCAAGTATCAGAGGGGGTAGCCGTGGTTAGTCTGGATCTGTAAAAGCGGCAAAGAGTCCTGTGGCACCTTATAGACTAACAGACGTATTGGAGCATAAGCTTTTGTGGGTGAATACCCACTTCGTCAGATGCATGTAGTGGAAATTTCCAGAGACAGGTATAAATATGCAAGCAAGAATCAGGCTAGGCATAACGAGGTTAGTTCAATCAGGGCGGATGAGGCCCTCTTCTAGCAGTTGAGGTGTGAACACCAAGGGAGGAGAAACTGCTTTTGTAGTTGGTAGAAATCACATGTTACTGGAAGTCCAAAATGGTATGGAATGTTATGGGAATGTACAACTCTTTTAGGTATATGATTCTTAGGGTGAGGTGACAGCAAAAGTATTGAGCTAATGTGCCCTAAAGGCTCAAAAACAGAAAGGAAAATTAAAAGAACCCCAAACGTATTTATCTATCTACTTTAATGTCATGATTTTTGGAAATATAATTCATGATTTTTGAATACTTGTGGTTGTCAATCTGTCTTGGGGTTGTATAGCTAACCTATATTAAGTAAAAAATACAGTAGAAATTGACTTTGAGGAGGATTTTATAAAAGATAGTATAGTGCCCTTCGGGCCAGATTTTTAAAGGTATTTAGGCAACTAGTGAGATTTTCAAAAGCATCTAGGTGCTTTCAACCTTTAAAATTCTGGCCTGTGGTGAATATATGGGAACCAAGTTCTACACACATATGACATGGGAAAAAGCACTATGGTGCTGGATAGAGAGGCAAAATAACAGTTTATAAAGGCAATCCCTTTGGTGTATCAAAGGAAACTTAAGAAGTTTTGACACCAAACCAGGAAATCAGCCTGCCTTGATGTCATATGATTCCAAAGAATAAACTGGTATATAAAAAATGAAAAAAGAACAAATATTTAGAATGAATAACTAATATCCCAATATAAACAGGAAGAGCTATACTAGAATTACCGTGAAATGTGATTGCTGAGGTGACGAGCAACTATTCATATTTTCAGGGATTATTTGCTATTAAAAATATCAATTGAATCGCACAAAAGATATCCATCTACGCTATGTTAACAAAGGTAAATGATGAAGTGCTAAGGGTAATAAAAATAACATTTTAAAAAGTAAATATAGGCGTGACACACTGTTTACAGTGGATTACAAGAAAAAGGCGATCCAGTTCAGGCAATCAGACCACCACTTAAGACAAATTTGTGAACTGCTATGAGGCTTTAAACAGACATATAAACTGATAAGGGATTGTATTAAACACTGACAATTTTCCTTTTTGGAGGGGTTGAGTATATGTAAAATATTTTAGCTGAATCAAGTTTCCTTCAGCAGTTCAATACATCGTATCAGATAGGGAAGAGCCCGTATTGCCTAGGCATTGGAGCACACTGTGCCTTTAAAGAGCACAGCCCTGGGAAGCTGGTGCTGAGCTGTACTGTCCTATGAAAGTGTGGAGGGGAAAGCCCCTCTGCTCTGCCCCTCAACACTCATTTTTAGAAACACTGCTGATGGCTCACCTCACCTCATCGGGGATAAACTTCATCCCCTCTGCCCCGCCCTATCCCAGGGCTTCCCTCTGCCACTGACTCAACCCCAGCTCCTATCTCCATCACTGATTTTGCTCTGGCCCTTCTCCTTCCCCTGCCCCCAGTTGTTTGACCCCCACCATTCAGTTCAGCCCCTTGCACAGTCTCCGCCCAACCCTCCCGTCCGATTTGCCTCCTCTGACCCCTCTAGCCCTCAAGAGCAACAGGGAGGGAGCAGACTGTAAAGGCCAGGGAAGGCCGAGGCTTCAGCAGATATTACTGTGCATGCGCAGTAACAGCAAAACAGCAAATTGTGACAGGCAGCAGTTTGTAATATGACCTGGGGGTGGCTGCAGAGCGGGGCTGCTCCTGTGGCCAGGGGAGAGCACAGCTTCTATGTCCGCTGGCAGCAGGGGTGGCTGTCGTTCAGAATAGGAACGGCTGAAAACACTCACCTTATAACCCCCCTCACTCCTGATCCAATCCCCCTGATCGTTAGTCACCCCACACTACAGCCCCCCCCCATCTATGCAGATCAGGGTGGATAAAAACCAATTCTTTTTTTAAAAAAAAATTAAAAATTAGATTTTTTTTATTTAAATTGAATTTTTTTGATAAAATGCTTTTTGAGGAAAAAACCTACCTAAAGATAGTTTTAATTAAGATACACTATAGCTCAAAGATATCTCATCATGGAATAGGGA